ACTTGTGGACTCTCAAAATAACCACTCTTTCCACTCCAAACAGAGGAGAAAAAAAAGTCCTCTCGTCCTTCTTGGCACTTTTTCCACACACTCTCTCAAGCCAAAAGGTAGCATTAAAATCTCCCTGAGCCGTGTTCTTGCAAAACAAATGGATTAAAAGATGATTACATATTGCCGGTGTGCAGAGGGAATCGCAGAAAAAGGTTTATCAGAAAATATCGCACTTCTCATTCTCTGGCAAAAAAAACAGGCAAATAAAGTCAGAGATTTGCTGGAAAATACAGAGAAAAAGGAAGAATCTTGTGTGTGTGTGCTGAAAAGGGGCATGAAATAAGTGCGAGAGGCGACTTTATGAGAGAGAAAATGCTTAAAGCATCCTTCAGAAGAGGTTGTTCTTTTATTTCCCTTCTCATTTCATTTCTATTTTTCGCATTTATCTCCCAGTTTTCAGAGAAACATCAAAAGGAGCAGAGAATTGCAAATGTTTTATTTAAAATTTACCCTCTACTCGAGGGTAAATTATTTTTTTTCTCGAATTACATTTTCAACTTTTAGGGCAGGAGAGAGAAATTGTGAAAGAGTCGGCAAATTTCTAAGGGGTTGTCGCTTCTTTTGCCCCAGAGATTGTTTTCATTTTCAAATGAATGACGACCAGATCAAGGGGGAGATATTAATGATGAAAAGCACTTCAGTTCAGGCGGAAGTCAACCTGAAGGCTGAAAAACATCAATTCTGAAGCTTTAAATGGAGAAATTGCCGGTTTTAGAGAGAATTTCAGTGCTAAATTTGAACATAACCTCAAAATTACTCCAAGAAGAAACCAATTTTAACCTATTGTCGACCTAAAACTGATTAGATTTCCCTTGTTTTGTCCATTAAAGGTTATTAAAAAGATTTTAAATTAAAAAATTTAAATTAAATTCAAGATTTACGTGTTCTTACAACAAGAAAACCTTGCTAAAATCACGATAACAACTTCTATAATTGTCTTAACGAGAGAAATTATCGATTTTAAAGAGGATTTAAATCGAATGATTAAACATAGCCTCAAAATTATTCCTTTTCAAAGCTTATTAATTTATTTTCTATTCCAAAGTTGGAAATTTACACTGATTCTCGCCCTGAAATAGATTAAATTTCTCCATTTTGGTCCATAAAAGGTTATAAATAGGATTTTCTTGAAAATCTTCACGAAAAATTGAAATTGAATTCATGTTTTACTTCTTTTCAAACAAGAAATCCTTGTTTAAATCACAATAAGACGGAAATAAATATTTTAACAAGTTTTATAGGGTCTAAAAGACTCTAAAATTACTTAAACTAGATAAATTGTAGATTTTAGAAAGAATTCAAGTGCTATGTTTAAACATAACCTCAAAATTTGTTCATTTTCAAAGTTTGTTACTTGATTTTCTGTTCTAAAGTAGGAAATTTAAGCTTATTTTTGCCCTGAAACACACTAAATTACTTAGTTTTGTCCGTAAAAGGTTATGAATAAGATTTTCTTTGATATTTTCAGGTCATTTTATAGGTTATGTTGAAAAAATGACATCAAATTCAAGATTTACGTCTTCTTAAAACAAGAAAACATCGCCTAAATCTCGATAAGGCGGAAATGAATATTCTAACAAGTGCTAAAATTGCTTAAACTGAAGAAATTGTCGATTTAAAACAGAATTTAAGTGCTACGTTTAAACATAACCTCAAAATTTGTTCATTTTCAAAGCTTATTAAACTATTAGTTTATTTTCTATTTAAAAATAGGAAATTTAAGCTTATTTTTGCCCTGAAACACACTAAATTACTCAGTTTTGTCCGTAAAAGGTTATGAATAAGATTTTCTTGAATATTTTTAGGTCATTTTATAGGTTATGTTGAAAAATTTACATCAAATTCAATTCTGACGTTCTTTTATTGCATGAAAACTTGGGTTAAAACATAATAATTGAGAAATGAATGTTCTAACAGTTCAAAAAGTGTTTAAATCAGCATTTTTCCACTCCTGAAGTGCGAAAGATTGATAAATATCTCCCCCTTGAGGCAGAGATCTTTTCTCCGTCCCTGTTTTATTTGCACGAAGAGCTTGTTCGACCTCTTGAAGGGTTCTCAGACGGATTTCGCTTGTCGGACTTCATTTGTGGGTGTATTTTTGGCACGACTTTCAGTCGCATGTGTAATTTCATCGCGCGCTCGTGTAATTACTTTAAATTAGTGCAGCACAACATAACTGGGATATTGAAAAGTGCCCGGATATGGACGCTGTGGTGATGTTTTCAATTAAAACTGGGGGGGAAAATGCAATAGGGCACGATGAGCGAGAGAGATTGATTCGTTGGCACTGATGGCAAATGTTAGATAAACTGCGGGAAATTTGATTAACGTCAACCAAATGCAGGAGAAAAAAAACGACATTTTCGCAAATGAAGCGACGCGATTAAATACGCAATTGACGCAGTTTATTTACACACCGAGAAATTCCTTCATTAAGTGCGTTTCCCCAGGACAATGTGAGGAATTTTATCAACGCGATAATTAGCATAATTTCCAAGTGAGAACAATTGAGTTTCTGATCTCCATGGCAGTTTGCTAATGCGTCGTGACGGATGCTCGAGACTGTCTTGTGGGGTGGCGGAAAAATAACATTTTGCCAAGGGTTGGGCGGCTCGAGTTGCTGGCAAATGTTGGATTTTCATTATGGAGCACAAACTCTCGTCGCCTGCATGCCAATTAGAAGGGCGTATTTGCAAAATGTCTAAGCTAATTTCGCCACTGTGTGCAACACAGTCATAATAATTATTAACTTCATAAGCTCTACCCTTTCGGAATAATATGAAAGAAATACCCTTGAACATGGAATTCACGTGGAATCGTTAATGCTTTTTATTACTTTTCATTCAAATTGGGTGGAAAAATTGTTGGAATTTCACTTCAGCAGAATAGAGAAAAAAACTATTGAAAGTTTCGAAAGCTCTCAAAGTGCGCGCTGTTCAACTTTTGCACAACGCTGGAGATTATCAAGAGGATTTTCCAAGGGGAAGATAATACGTCTAAAATGTGTACACAACTTTCAAACACTTCCAAATTTGCCTCACACTTCTAAAACATGAAATTTCTTGTCTTTTTCCACATTAATTACTAAATTATAACAAATTTCTTAAGTTTCCATTCCACATTTCTGTAATAATCGACTCAAAACAGCTGTTTTTGGACATCTTTTCCGCACCATAACCTCAAAATATCTTCAAAAACTCTGTTTGGAAGCATTCTAGATCACAAAATGAACTCTAAATTGCTGATTCAGACTTAAAATCGCCAAGAAAAATTTCTGAATGGTCATTTTCCAAGTCCAAATGCCTATTTTTGAGGTTATGTTGAATCTTAACACAAATTTGCAGTGTTTCTTGGCATCAAAAGGTTAAAAAAGCACGGTTAATTGCTTGCAAATGCTTCATTCTGCCAAAGAACATTAGAATTGATGTGCTAGAAAGCGAATTATTCACTAAATCTGTACTTAATTCATGACATAACCTAGAAAAAGATTTTTACGTTTGTTTCTGCGTGAAAATCGAAGGAAATTCAGAGAATCTGGATGATTTGTCAGTAAAAAAAACATTCCAGGAATATAATTTTTCTAGGTTTTTCAACACTTCCACTTCTTATGGCACTTCTGCTGAGCTGTACACCACTTCTGACTGTATTATCTCCTCCTTGGGATTTTCCTGTTGCGCTCTGCTTTCGTTTTATTGCAAAAAGAGGCAGAAAAGAAATTAAACATCAACTTTGGAGCCACAAGAATTCTCTCCTAATTGCATAAATGTTATCTATCTTCGTTCCTTTTTATTCTTGTCAGTGGAATGTCGCATGTTGAGAAATTCTTCAACAATGACCGCTTTTTTTCTGTACTTTCTCCATGACTTTCATGTCCTTTTTTGTCTTTCATTTTGTACATGTGGCGAAGAATGTGAAAGTGATTGAGAAGATGAGCCGCAGAGAAATAATGTCAGCATTAATTGCAGTTGTTTGAGAGAAATTCCATAGCAAAAGACTTGTTACACTTGAAGACAATTGTCGCGCATGAACTTGATTCGAGTGAACTCAACTGTGAGGATTTATTTCCCCATGCACGATTGTTGAAATTGCCACAAGTTTGCACATAAAACAGCGCTTTTAGGAGTGTTTTAGTTTATTTTGTGGGCGGAGCATTGAAAGGGGCGTGGCTTTTGCCAAATTATTTCCCTCTTTAGCTAATTAAGCTACAGTCAGAATGATATTTTAGCAGTGCAAAAGCCACAAGTTCACAAGCAAGACAAATAGAGTTGAGTTTATCTCTGGGCGATGCTTGATTGCTTTCTGCAAATCCAAGAATGTGGTTTGTAGTCAATTAATGAAATGCACATGGCTTCATTCAATCGCACCATGTCAATATTTGCACTTCCAATAATGAATGTAAAATCAATTCATGCAAAAGAGGCAATAATTGAAAGTGTTTTCGCATAATTATTTCACTAATTATTCCGCAATTTATTTAATATCACAACACAGAATGACTGTGAAATTTTTACATGTTTGTTAAATGAGCTTTTCCAAGAAGCTTTGCAGCTTTTTCCGGCTCACAAAGTATTTAAAACATTATTACTGGGGCGAAAATACTTGAACGAAAGTTTGTGTGCACAAAAGTTCAGATCGATTTGATGCACAAAGTTCACTTAATATGTAATGCACGGAAAGTTTTCGCCAAAGTTTCATCACACGAGCGACACTTTGTGTGGACTTTTGTTGTGAAAGCTTGTCAGCCTCTTGGAATACATTTGGTGGCTTCACGCTTTGGTGAATTTGATGAGAAATCATTGGAATTTAATGTGTGAATGCGAAATCAGAAGCATTCTTCTCAATCAGCAAGCAGAGAAGCTTCTCCTGATGTTTAATCATGTGCCGCGGCGCGTTCGACGCTCTTGTTTGACGCCCTTTGTTTAACCTGTCTTTGTTTGCTTTTGCGGCAGGATACAACAGTCAGGAAAACGGGATTCACGCGGCGCGCGGCGTCCCTGAAGCAGACGCGCACGGCTCAAGTGTCGCTGGAGCTGCAAGTGCCGCCCACGTCGTGGGCGCCCATGGTGAACAGCGGCGCGCTGAAGAAGTCCAACTGGGAGGTGATTGAGCACTTCAACACGGGCCCCAAGGGCCGCGGCTCCGTGAGCAGCAGCCTCATCGCCATCGGCGTGACCAAGTGCAACCTGGACGACTCGCTGGGCTCCAATTTCTCCGGCTCCACGTGCAACAGCCCAATGGCGAACAGAGAAGTTAATCAACGATTATTACCCGGTAATTAGCACACCTGCCCATTTGCTCCACCCGCCAAAGAAAGCTCATTATGGGCTCACGTTGAATGGGGGAAAATGGCTCTTGCTCGCCATTCAATTCCACCCTTCAATAGAGACGTCGAGGGCGAGGTGATAAGAAGCATTATTAGTGCCTTCTCTGGTCATAAAATCTCATAGAGCTCAATAGAGGAGAATTTGTATCACGATTCTCGTGCAAAAGCACGTGTTTTTGGGCAGAAACAAGAAAGAAAGTATGTATTCTGGAAGTCGTTGGGAGAGAAAAGCTCTTTCACTCGACAAATTATCGCAATATTTTCAATTTCTGCGAAGGTTTTTTGGTTAGAGAAATTAATCTTAACACTTTACGAGACCATTTAATTAATTTATGTCAAATTTAGCTAATTAAGAACGTCTATAAGCACGGAAACATGATCATAAAAATGTATTTTAGAGTTCTTCTGCTATTTTACACTATAAAATAACATTTTTAGGTGGTTTTAAGCTCGTTTTGGCCCCAAAATCTCACATTTTCCTTCAGAATTCTTCGATTCTCTCAAGAAGTGTTTTTTAAATGGATTTCTTAATCGAATTCTCTGAAGAATCCTCTGATAAAAAAGCCAAGGAATGTAATGACAGTGAAAAAAGTCTCTAAAGACGCTGAAAACCTAAGAATTCAGACATATTTTTAATCCTTTTAACCAAGAATTATAATAATAACGTTCTTAAATATCAATTTTTCTGAATTTCTGCACCAGAAAAATGTCTTTGACGAATTCTTCCTGTCAAGAAGCCAAAGGGAAAGTCACTCGCAAGTTGAGACCATTAACTTTATGATTATTTAATCATTTTTATGATTATTTGTGATTATTAATCAAATTTTGATAATTTTTTTTTGATTTTCTACTGAATATTTGATGAAAATTTGATTATTTTTTTGAATATTTCATTAAAATTTGATTATTTTTTGGAATATTTTTGATTCTTTTTTGAATATTTAATAAAAAATTGTTTATTTTATACAAATTCTGATTATTTTTAAATTATTTGTGATTTTAATTCAATTTGACTTGACTTGAGAAAAAATTCATTTTTTTTTTAATTATTTAGTTCGGAATTTGATTATTTTGATTTTTTTTTCTTTGTTACTTTACTTTCGAAAATAATAATTTTTTTTATATATTTTATTTGCGAATTTGATTTTTTTTTGCAATTTTACTTGAGGAAATATTAAATTTTTTGTTATTATTTTATTCAAAATTTATGTTTTTTTTTTAACTTTACTTTGGAAAAGAATTCGTTTTGGATAAATTTTTTTTGAATTTGATTATTTTTCAATTTTATTTGAGAAAATATTCATTTTTTGATTATTTTAGTCAAATAATCGATTATTTGATTTGAGAACATTAAGTTTCCTCTAAAATCACCCCTTGTGATTTGCCCCTTGCAAGAAGCTCTTTTAAATGCATTTCCAAATCGAATCTAAGTTAAGTTGAAATGCAAAACAATGCAAGAATTCCAGAAAATCACTGGCAGATTGAGAAATTCCGGAATTCTTGGACTGTTTTGGACTTTTGTGAAGTTTAAGACAGTAATTGAAGGAGAATCTGATACTTAATGGACAATATTGATTTCCTCCTGCTTGAATTCTGCCCCAAATCGTCTCTGTTACATTCCAAACTGGACCGCAAAAGCCCAGCTCTTCGTAAGCCAATTACAGCGGACGCTTATCGACGGTCTTAAGTGTCCTGAACTGAAGTAGTAAATAATGCAGGACGTGAGATGTGTGGACTTTTGTGCTGACGCGACAAAGAAAAACGTCTGCGGAAGAGGTGTAATGACAGAGAGCATAATTTTGGGGCTTTTTAGTGACACTTTGTGGCAATATTGTGTCCGTGTGTCAAATGATTAATTGCTATTTCGCCATCCATGTAATTGTCATCATTAATAGAGTGGTTTCACTCTCGGTTAGATTATTACACTTGATTCGTCACTCTCTTTCTCTCTGAGATCCTTTTTAGTATTCAGAGTGATGAGAAAAATCCTGATTAGAGAGCCTTTCATTGTCGTTTTTCTTTATAAACCCAGATAAAATTGCTTCGTTTCTCTGAGGTTTTGCCCAAGGGGGAGATAATATGGTCAGAAGTGGTGTACAGCTTAGTTAAAGTGTGCAAAAACCTATAATATTCCTTTCTTGAGAGCTTCTTTGACTGGATAATTGTCTTTATTCTCTGGATTTCTTTTGATTTTTGCGTAGAAACAATAAATATAATCATTTTCTAGGTTATGTAACGAATTAAGGACAGATTTAGTGAATAATTCGCATAAATTCTTATGTTCTTTGACAGAATTTAGCATTTTCATCCCGTAAACATTGCTTTTCTGTCCTTTTGTTGCCAATAAACCCTAAAAATTGTGATAAAATCGAACATAACCTCAAAAACCTTCATTTGAACTCTTAAGATGTTTATTTAGGACACTTTCTGGACCATTTAGACTCTGAATCCTCAATTTTAAGCTCATTTACAAGTGATAAGAGACGATTTCGTGATCTGGAAAGCTTCCAAACGGAGTTTTTGAAGATCTCTTAGTGATATTTTGAGGTTATGTTCGGAAAAAATGCCCAAAAAGCAGATTTAAAGCATATTATCTCTCCCTTGATATTGCGTGTGATTGAAAAAGTTGCCAAATTCTCTCTGTTGGCGGACTTCTCGGGAAGAGAGAATCATGATCGATTCTTTGATGATGTTCTCAAGACGCTGCCAAACAAAGCCTCGCGCGCGCCATTGAATTCTCTGAGATTCTCTGGCCATTGTCGTTGGGGGGAAAAGTTAAAGTCTATATGATTTGGGCGATGAGAGAAGAATGAAGATGTTTTGCGGGGAGAGTTGAAAAACTGCAGGGTTCAATTTCTTTTCACCCATCAATTCACATCTCTCGCATTTGTAATCAATTTATTTGATGTCTCAAATTGTATTTGATGTCAAATATTGATTCATTTCAACTTGTATTTTTCTCCCGTCTTTCTCTCACTCTCTCTCTCGATGGGTTTTCGACAATCTCCGCTCGCAGCGCAATCCAATTCGCATTAATTACACTTTTGTGAGCACATTGAAATATTCATTGGTTTTCTTCTGTGTTTCTTCTTGCGTCAGCGGACGAGTCGCGGGATCAGGAAGCGCTGTGCCGGAGCGAGAGCGGCGCAAGGACGTCATTCTGGTATCGGCTGAACAAGCTGATCATCCAGATGTGCAGCAGTCACCAGTTCAAGAATCTGCAGGTGGAGATGCTCTATCAGCGCTACTTCCTGCGGATGAATCAGAGCAACACGACACACATTGTCGGCCTCCTGTTGGCACTCGTGCTAATTCTCTCCGTCATCCACATCTTCCTCGCCTTCACGCCCTGGAGCGGCGCGATTGACACCGCGAGACTCAACAGCTCCGCCATCGATGACGCCAAGATGATGCTCGACATCATGGATGCCGAGCAGATTCATGTAATTGATGGCAACACTCTCGGCGCCGCACACAAGAACCTCACAGAGAGCAGAGGAGTGTCGATGAGGGAACAATTGCACAGGTAACAATTCCATCCTGAAGCCTTTTCTCAACTGAAGTGCATTTGGAGAAGCAGGGAAAATCACTCGCATTTCATCGCTCGCGGCGCACGTTCGATTTTGTGAAGTAAAACGGATGCTTTTCCAAGGGAAACTCAATTGAGATGGGGATTTGAAAGGTTGGCAGAACTTCTCCGCAATTCTGCACAAAGTTGACTTCGTTGACTTTATGCAATCTTTGGCGTGGATTGCAAAGTTGTTTGCGGCAAAAGTTATACACTTTATGCTCAGGATATTGCCTTACGTTCGCTCGTTTTGTGCTTTCAATCGAGTTTAGCATGAATTTCGACCAGTAAATAAACTCAATTAAGGATCTCAAGGTGTCTGGAAGTCTGAAAGTGTTCAGAAACTTGCAATATTTCTTTAGATTCTTTCAATTTTCACGAAGAATCAATCATAAAATACCTTTTTCTAGGTTATGTAACGAAAAACAGTCAGATTTAATGCATAATTCGCATTCTAACACACTAATTCTTATGATAAAGTCACCAAGATTGCTAGTCATTGACAGAATTGAGCATTTTCAAGCAATAAACATTGTTTTTCTGACTATTTGATGCCAAGAAACAGTGTAAATTCTATTGAACTCGTACATAACCTCAAAAACAGTCATTTGGACTGGGAAAATGTTCATTTTGAAACATTTCTGTGTGATTTTGAGTCTGAATTAGCAATTTAGAGTTCATTTTGTGATCTAGAATGCTTCCAAACGTCGTTTTTGAAGATATTTTGAGGTTATGGTGCGGAAAAGATGTCCAAAAACAGCTGTTTTGAGTCGATTACTACAGAAATGTCGAATGGAAACTTAAGAAATTCGTTATAATTTAGTAATTAATGTGGAAAAAGACAAGAAATTTCATGTTTTAGAAGTGTCAGGCTAATTTGGAAGTGTTTTTCAGTTCATTTACAAGTCTTAATAGATGATTTTGTGAAATAAAAAGCCTCCAAACTGAGTTTTTAAAGATCCAAAGATGTCCAAAAGAGCGTTTTTAAATGAATTCAGGCATATTATCTCCCTCTTGAGCTTGATTACTTGCTTGTCTCGCCAGAAAGCGCATCATAAGAACACTGAACTGTTCAAGAACATAAACTTTGAACTTTGCATGCTTTATCTTGAATCTTTTCAATGGGTTTTTGCTCAGTTTTCACATGTTTTCAATTATTGAAATATCATCAAAATTATCTCTGAACACGTGAAACAATATTTGTTCTACAATTTTGCAATTCCCTGGAATTTTGTGATTGAAGAGTGAATTGAAATTGGAGCATTTTGGGAGCAAAATTGCATATTTTTGGGGTTAAAATTGATCAAAGATGAATTAAAATCAGTATTTTTTCTTCAGGAGTCCAAAAATATTCTTGTTAATTAAATTTCCTCGCATTGTCCTTATTTTATTGGCATTCAAAGGACTCTTAATGGCTCCAGAATGTTTGCAAAATGTGGTTTTTCCACTCATATTTTGCTACTTGAGTGTGTTTAATCATCAAAGCTTAATTAAAGTGTCGATATTAAATGTTTGCGCAAATCCAACATACTGAAATCGTTCAATAAATGCTGATTAATTTATTTGAATATTCCCATTTGCCAATCAAAACCGAATTATTTGTGTTTGAAAACACAAAATAGAGACACTCAAAATCGACGGGTGAATCGAAAACTATGAAAAGCCAAAAACGCAATTTTTCAGCAAAGCGTTTTCAAGATTTCGCTTCATTATCGGGGCAAAATTTGCCAAATTTATCTTAAAAAGCCTTCAAATCGTCCGTTAAAGTGTAAATATTGCAAAGTATTTTTTATTTTGTAAATATTTTAGTTGATTTTATCAGTATTTATTGGAATTTTTGGACTAAAATATGGTGAAATTAATGGAAAATCTGAAAATTTTTTTTTTCAAAGTCACTTTTTATTAATCTTCGAGTTGATTTTATCGAAATTAGTTCTAAAAAATCAATTTTTCATACTTTACTTGAAATTTTCCTTAATGTTTTCAAGTGAAAAAAATTCAAAAGATATGAAAAATATTCATTTAAAGTACAAAAAAACATTTTAGGATAATTCTGAAAATCTACAAATATTTTCTAAAAAGACGTTTTTATGCATTTGACTGCAATTTTTGAGACATTTTTCTTGGGGAAAAACATGACAATTTTTTTTCCATTTGTGCTTTTTAGATTAATAAGATTTTTTGCTGTTGTCTCATAAGATAGAAATCTTAAAATTCTTGTACAGAAAGAACAAATAAAAAGCTATTCAAAAATACACAAGACGTAAATTATGAAAAATCGACTTTTCATAGTTTTCCATTCACCCGTCGAAATGCATTAAACTAATCGCACTAAATCGCATGGCAAATATCACACTTGAAAAGCACTTGAAAATGATGGAAAACTGATGAAAATTTATCTGGGCAATTGTGGATTAATGATAGGAAAAGTCAGAGGTGTTTTTGAGTGTGCGATATAAAGTTTTACTCGCTATTTGAGTAATTTTCCGTGCTTTTGCGACATTAAATTTCAACACTGGCGCGCGAAGAGAGTTTAAATTTACTTCTCTTTGTCATTTTGTCTGTCGACGGCGGCTCAGGATGCAATTACATAATTTAATGACGGTGATAAAATGTGGGGCCAGAAGAGCTACTTAACACTGATCTCCGCGTCAAGTGTCACATTCTCGTCCTTTTTCCCTCCACTTCTGGCATTTTTCCCATCCGATTCCAATCATTTCCATCACCCAAATCACGACTTGTCGGGCGAGATGTTGTATTTCTCTGACCGCCACATGTCAACGATCTGTGACGGGATTCTATGACGGGATTCTGTGGGCGGAAAGAGCCACTCATTGGACTCACCCTTGACCCACACTTTGCCACCCTCTTCGTGGTATTTGTCTTTCCGTTTTGTCCTCGCCACTCGAGCTTCTTTTCCAACCCCCAACGCCGGAAAAGTGGACGTGAAATCGATAGAATTTCCACCACTGCCGCCGCCGTGCGAGTGCCGCCGCATTATTAGCTAATTTGCCTGAAATATTTGCTCTGCCATCTTCATTAGAATGTCTCGCGTGTGCCCAAAAAAACAGCAGAAGAGGAAAGGAAGAAGTTTGGGTGGAAAGTTATTGAGAAAGACGGGCGCAAAAGAAATCTATTAACAGCAATTTTCCTTAGCGACGCGCCCTTAAGGGCAAAGTTGCTGAAGATTCAGTGAGATAAAGAGCTCACATTTCGCTGATGAAATCATCATTTTCAGACTCTCATCAAACCCCCGTGAATTATGTGATATTTTCCTGAATTTATTAAAAGTGTCAATTAAGAAATCCTCTTAATAGAAAACTTCCAAGACAAATCGACAAACTTGACGTGACAATTTTCTTGACTTTATTAACGAGAATTAATTGCTTCTGAATTGGTTGACAGATGAAATTTTGGCTTGTTTTTTTCACAATTACCCAATTTTAGCTGTTTGAGTTGGAATATTAAAGAATATCCAGGAATGGATGGAAATAAAAGTGAAAAATTCCAAGGAATGGATTGTAAACTTGGGATAGAAGAATGAGAATTTAGCACATTAAATAACATTTTGCGAGGTTTATGACGATTAATTATTTATTGAGAAGCTTTAAAACTCCTGAAATTAGTCAATTGGTTAAATTGTGGTGTAAAAAAGGCCAAAACAGGAAAATATGTGAAAAAAATTTGTCGTCAGCTGGATTTGAACTCATGACGGAAAGTCTGCGAAGGAAAATGACGCAAAATTGCGATATTGACAGCTTTCCAAACGACTTTTGCGGAGAACAAGGTGGAAAATTACATTTTGGGCTTCGAAAAGAGTTCTTTTGACAATTTTCAAGACCTTGAATTGACATAAAAGCGCTGAAAAGAGTGAGAAAATCTTTCTGTCTCTGAGAGAAAAGCAATTTCGAGCATCAAATTGGGTTATCAGAGATAATTCTTGAAAAGATTGAGGAAAAAATGCTGATAGAAAGCTATAAAAATGAAGGAAAATACAGGAAAAAGGAAAGAGTTGTGAAAAAAATCACAACAGACGGGGAATCGAACCCGCGACATTTCACGATCTTGTGCTAAATTCTCTTATAATGAAGATTTGCGCTGAAATTTCTACATTAACATTCTAACTAGACGACTTCGAAAACACAATTACGAATTGATTTTGGTGTGGAAAGAATATGTCGAAGAATTGATTGGAATGGAAAGGAATGGATTGTGGAATATTATGGAATTTTGTGGAATGGAAATAAATTTTCTCCCACTTGATTAACCCATGCAATTACCCAGAAAAGCTTTTGTGTGCAGCAGAAATGTGTGTTCAATTTATTAAAATTAAATATGCAAAAAAGTTCAACATTTCTGCCATCATTCATATTTCAACTGTTTTTTCAGTGTGTGTGTGTAATTTTGTGCGATTCGACGGGAAAATGTAATTGAAAATTGCGAAATTTGCCCCTTGGCAAGTGGCAAAAACACTCGATCAATGCCTTCAATACACATTCGGCCAATGTAAATACTGGGAAAAGTACATTTTGGCTTTCACTTTTTTGCTAATTAAATAATTTTTCCAACCTTTTCCTCCCATACTTCAAATGCTGTGTAATCTTTCTCTCGTTCTCTGTCAATTTATAGTGCACAAATACATTTTCTGCCATCGAATCGACGACGATGATGATGATAAAAAAAAGTTACACTCAATGGGGAAAAGCTTGGGAAAAACATGGACTCGTTAATGCCAACATGTTGATATTGAGAGAGCAAAGCTCTCGTTGCTTATTAAAAGTTTTCACAGTGGGCAAAAATCGGAAAGCTCAACTTTTGCCCAGACACTGAAATCCAAAACTACCCTCAGGGTGTCACATTAGCTTTGGCTTTGCTTTCCGGGAAATCCATCAACCCTGCATTTGATGCGGAGTTAAAGTGTCTTTGATCAATTAAAGCCTTCTGAAGCGTGACAAAGTGTGTTTTGGAGAATCATTAGCAAATCCTTCTCGAAATGAATATGTTTTGTGAGCATTTCCACGTGTTGAATGAGAATTGTGGGAATAAATTAGTGGTTTTTGAGCAGTATTTCATCCTATTTGGCCATTAAATTCATTGCAAAAATTACTCTTTCGGGTTTTCTGATTGTTTTTGTATGCCGAATAAGAGAATTATGGACAGAGACTATGACATTCCTAGGATTTTCACAAGACAGTTCTACATTAGTCTCTATGAAATTTAACGGACACATTCAAAAAAGCTCAATTTTATCAGAAATCAAGTTTAGAGACAATTAGGATAAAATTGGACATTTTTCGCATATGTCCGCTAAATTTCATAGAGACTACTGTAGAACTGTCTTCTAAAAATCTTAGGAATGTCATACGCGCTGTCCATTATTCCCTTATTCGACGTACAAAGATTCCTTTCAATGAAATAAATTCTCATTTCAACTCTAATCCCACTCAAAGCACGTTTTTTTGGGGGAAATGTAGCGTTAAAACAGAATTGAAGTCGTGTTTTCTACGCTCAACAGAGATTTTCGCTTGTCGTCAGCTAAATAATGCAGAAGAACTATTTCTTGGCACTTCCATTTGGTCCTTTTGCTCAGTGGTTTCATGCATTTTTAATTTGCCAAATTGAAGAAGAGAATTTAAGAAACAACCCCAATTTTCCTCCCCTGCATTTCACATGGCGGCGATGAGGAGGAAATTGTCGGGTTGTGGAGAGATCAAAGGGCATCTTTTTATTTCTGCTTTGGAGGAGGAAAAGAATCTCGTGCGGTTCAATTTAAATTCTCGTCAACGGGACACTTTGTGACTTTGAGAATTTCCGGTGTAACTTTAAATAATGCAGAGCTTTTTGACTGTGAAAGTGAAGAAGATGTGAGAGGGAAAGTTTTGGGAGGGAAAATTCCAAAGATTTTCGCCATGGAAAGTGTGGTGAATAATTGAATTTGTGAGGGACTTTTGGTGGTTGTGGAGATTTTTCTGAGGGGAGTGTTTATATGATGCATGGTTGGGAAAAAGAAAAGCCTGGAAGCAGAAGGGCTCAGCTTAATTGAATTGTATAATGTTGGAATTTTCAATTAGTAATCTCTGCCAACACCATCGACAAACTGCCTTTAGTTTGTTGTGAGGCTGATTCTCCGGTAATGCTGTTTGATATTGAAACCATTCGAAGGCGGGTGTTAATAGACAAATATCTCTATACAATATTGATCGAGCAAACCACATCCTTTTCATTTGGCCTCTCTTCCTCATCACTGAACCCTTTTCCACACACCACAAAATCCTCCCTTTTCGCCATATGCACAGCGCGCCCGTGAGCCCCCAGAATATGTCTGCATATTGACAATAATCTCAATTCCCATGGCATGATAAATCATACCTCAATATAATTTATGTCTTTCACGCCTCGGCACCACTTTAATTATTTGGCTGGTGTTCCGTGAGCATCAATAAACAAATACAATTTGGGGTGGTTTTTCGGTTCGAGGAGGGGTGAATTTACACCATTAATTTTATGCGGTGATAAAATATCAGAAGACTTTTGGGCATCCCAATTTTATACCCATGACGTGACGCGCAACACCGCCTAATGTGACTTTATTTCCTTGTCCGCTTGTTTGTTTCAAAAATTCACAGACAATTCAATTAATAACCTTCGCGAATTCTTCTCTTAATAAATTGAGTAATGAATTTTTAAATCCCTTCTCTTCCCTTTTTGGCATGAAGGAAGAGAAAAAGAACGCGCGCGTGATGAGAACATAAGAGCTTTTTCAGATTTCACCTCAATTCCTTATCAAATATCTTGACAGAAAATCCCCATTCTATGATATTGCTTTTGCCCTTTTTCCCCGCCCGCCCAGCAGAAGAATTTTGGGAGTTTTGCATTTAGTTAGCCAAGGATTTAGAGAGTGATTTCAACTGAAATTCTAGGGTAATTGTGAGATAAATTGATTTATATAAATTAATATTTCGGAAGCTGGCGCACACGCTTCTTCGTGGGCCTCTTTTCACTCTCATTTTTCATCCTTTATCGCTCTTTCATGCGGTGAGAATGTTTTTTTTCTTCTTCCTTCTCCTGTCCTCCTTCTTCCACAAGACTTCCTCAATCAATTTCCATATGCGATGGTTGGGAAAACGAAGACGGAAGACAAGCAGGAAATTTCCGCAGAAACCTCTCTGGAGAGATTAATATGTGGACATTTTTTACATGCTGTCAGTTGTCCTCATAAGTGTGACAAGGAGACAAAGGCAGCGGAGAAAATCAATAGGAATAATTTGCGAAAGGACCTCTTCTTCTTCCCTTTTCCACAGATTCACAGTGTGGCTCGAGGACACAACGGTGGCAAATAACATCTCGAGCAACGAGACGTTGGGCGCAAGTTGGCACGAGGCGGGAAAGTTTGCCGAGCACTTGGGAAATTCGTCTGACCAATTCACCAGCATTTTGCCATCGATTATTACCCTAATTGCCTGTGCTGTAGTTTACATCTGTAAGTGTCTCTCTGGCCAATTAATTTAATCACTCACCTCCACTGTTTGAAGCCCGCATGATACTTAACAGCTCTTCTTCTTCTTCTCCCCCCGACAAACAGTTCTCCTTATTGCTCTGTCGAAGCCTGCAATCAATGAGGTATTTTTAGTGTTAGTGTCTTATGCCATTATCGCAACGTTCTTCGCAATTGAAGTGTGTCTCTCCTTAACCAATTACTACAGGTGAGAAGGGTGAATATTCAATTATCAACTCCACTTCTCCCTTCTTCCACGTGCCGATGAAACTTTTGCTGCACGGTCAAATGGTGAAATTTTTTTGCAGCATTTCAGCCAATGTTGCTCTTTGAATCCATTTCAACCTTTTGCGTAATGGACTTTTTGCCACGCCAGACTTTGCTAATGAACTTTTTATTCAACTCCCAGAAACTTTTACACGAACATCTTTAGTGCTGAGCTTGAAATTTCATGCTTATCAATCTTGTATTGGTGAACAAATCGATTCACCGGAATGGCTGGGATATCAATTCTGTCCAGTAATTGATACTTATTATCTCTTTGCATGTCTCCGTCGTTTCTTAAAGCGTATCACCAAGGGTGAGGAGATTTTTCAAAGTGGTGTATAATTATGTTTTCTTACAATGTACAAACATTTCTTGGTGTCTTCAGACAATCTTATATTGTCACAGAACAGGTGAAATTATTTGTCACCTTGTGAGACACACTTTGGACAACTCTTGTGACAGTCCAAAGGATTCTTCAATGTGTGTCTCACGAGTGTCTGAAGAATTTCAACAGACATTCTTTTATACTCTTCTATGTGGCAAATTTGACAAATTTTGAGCATTTGTACACTTCCTCAGATGAAATTCTCCAGCCTTGCGTAAGAAGAAAATCACCCCTTAGAGTCAGTGGAAGCCCTTTATTCTGCAAAGCTCCTGGAACAGTCTGTGTCTTCCCTGGGAGATTAAGTGTTCATTGTCGAGTGGATGGAGTCAATGGACACTTAATGCTGCCGAGAAGGCTCAGCGAGAGAGTGTTGCAAATGAGAAAAGCACTTTCCTTCGAGCAATTCAGAGAGTCTCAAAAGGAAAGCGTTTCCTTATGGATTTTGCATGAGCTGAAGAACTATCACTCACACATTTGTCGAAAAGAACTCCATTGAGTGCTTGTTAGAATTTTACCAGCGAATTTATTTCGCTGAATACAAAGTTCGAGCGCTTTGGGAGTTTGTCGCTGTAAAGGGAGTAATATTTGCCTGCTAAAAATTCAGAGAGGGTGGAAAAATGTGTGTTTGTGTCTTTAAAGAATTCAAATATGTTTCCATGCCACAATAAATATGCTGAACATTTGTGGCATGTTGAAATGTTTGTTTGGCCCAAAGGTGAGAATTATTTTATTCGCATCCGGTGGAAGAGTTGAGAGTGGAGAGTTTTGCAATCTATCGCCTCGAGCGGCTACATTTTGGCCCTTTTGCCTTGGACAGAGCGGCGGAGGGCGTGAATGGGAGCACGCTGATCTTCGTCTACTTGACTTATGCGATGCTGCCGGTGCGGCTGCGAGAGGCCATCGTTGGCGGCTGCTTCCTCACGGCCACGCACATCATCATTGACGCCTGTGTGAGCGCTCGGGAGTGGCACCAGCTGGCGTCCAGCGCCGTGGCGCTGCTCTGCATCAACCTGGCCGGCGCCTACACGCACTGGCCGCGCGAGAAGGCGCAGCGCAAGGCCTTCCTGGAGACCCGGCAGTGCATCGAGGCGCGCCTGCGGACGCAGCGCGAGAATCAGCAGCAGGAGCGCCTGCTGCTGTCCGTGCTGCCGCGCCACGTGGCGATGGAGATGAAGGACGACATTGCCGGACAGCCGCGCGAGGCGCAATTCCACAAGATCTACATCCAGCGCCACGACAACGTGTCCATCCTGTTCGCCGACATCTGTGGCTTCACCAGCCTCTCGGATCAGTGCACGGCCGAGGAGCTGGTGCGGCTGCTCAACGAGCTCTTCGCGCGCTTCGACCGCCTGGCCGCGGAGCACCACTGCCTGCGGATCAAGCTGCTCGGCGACTGCTACTACTGCGTCTCCGGGCTGCCCGAGGCGCGCCCGGACCACGCGCACTGCGCCGTGGAAATGGGACTCGACATGATCGACGCCATCGCGTGAGTTGAATAATTCCGATTCCTCAAGCTTTCATTTCATCCCCTTTTTTAAAGAGTCATTTCAAATGCTCCCAGCGAGCCAAATAGCTGAAGAAATAAGCAGTTAATTCAGCTAAAAAGTGCTAAGTCGAAGTCAGCGATTGCAGCGGACGATAGAGGAAGCTCAATAGTGTTAAAAATACATCAATTTGCAGCACATTTTTAAGCTAATTTTACTGCTAATTTTTCATCCATTTTCTTAGCAAATTTCTCAATTTTCCAAATTTTTCTGATCTTTTTTCCTGATTTCGTGCAAATTCTCTCACTTTTGAGATTATTTGCATGGCGCTTTTTATACAATTCACTTGAGTGTTGTAATCACGAAGTATATTATTGAAAAGGAATGGTTTTACATGAAGCGACATCTGTGTATTTAAGTGCACATCAATACTTTAACTGGTCGCCGCAACGTTCGCTAGTGCAGCAATCGAATGGCTAAAATTTGAGCGAATAAAAGCACAAAAATCAGCTTTTTCAAGCTCAACTTTTGAGACTTTTCAACATTTCGTGTTCGCTGGGCTTAAAGTGCCGTGAAAATGAAACAGTCACCCTAATTTTCGAAGAATATGAATAATTTACCACTTGGAAATGTTTCAATGAGCAGCAAATTCCATTGAAGAGATAAATATTTAAAAGCCTCTAAATTGGAAATGTGATATTTTGCAAAATGCAAGCATTCAACGCGTTGAATTGGGACATAAACTGTATCATTTACATCACTTTATTTCTCACTTGTTAAACCCTTGAAATCCGCGAAAAAGCTAGCAAAGCAGCAATTTTGTGTCTGCAATTCATCGCTCAGTGTGGCGAATTTCAAATCTTTCCTGGAATTTTGATGTTTTTCCTTTTAAAATAACTGTTGAAAATTCCTGCAATTTGCTGTGCGCCGAACAGCTGAAGCGTGAATGGCTGAAAATCATGAATACCTCAAGCTTTGATTCCATGAAAATCGAGCATTTCACATGGAATATTTTGCGCGCTGTGCAATGATTGAAAGCTTGAGTGAAGGGAGAGGAATTGTATATATATATCTAGGGATTCTCCCATTCAATTTGTGCCGGAGAGCTCTTGAAGAAATCACCCTTTGGCTGCTATGCGGGTGCATAACAAAGTCAAATGGTTTGCCTTTCCCTCCGCTGACCCGAAACGTCTCTCAATCTCTGTCTAAATAATACATTTGCGCCCGCGTTAATAATGCAAGACGGAGGGAAGGAGGGCTGATAAGGAGCAGCCTCGGGGCGTCGCTCATGCGGAATGTCTCTCTTGCAGGCTCGTGCGCGAGGTGATGGCCGTGAACGTGAACATGCGGGTGGGCATTCACACCGGGCGCGTGCACTGCGGCGTGCTGGGCCTGAAGAAGTGGCAATTCGACGTGTGGTCCAACGACGTGACGCTGGCCAACCACATGGAGAGCGGCGGCATTCCGGGGCGCGTGCACATCACCAAGGAGACGCTCAAGTGCCTGGACGGCGACTACGAGGTGGAGGAGGGCCGCGGCTGCGAGCGCAACGCGTATCTCAAGGACCACCAGATCGAGACGTTCCTCATCGTGCCCGGCGACACGTATCAGCAGGTTTGTCCGCAGCAAGGGCTGCACGCGCGGGTATCTATCGGCCACTGTCTCTCGATGTGCTTGGCGAATGCTCGGTGTTTTCCGCCCCCAATTCCACCCCCATCCGCCCCCGGATCTCACGGGAATTCCGCATTGGACACGCGGCGGCCCTTTTGAGCCACACACAGAGCCGCCGGGTGGGAAATTTCGGGGGTAAATTCAAGAATCAAGGGGGAAATTGTGAATTTGTGAAAAAGCACAAATTGATGCTAAACAAGGGGAAGATAATATGGCTGAAATCTGTACATCACTTTCTGACACTTACTAAACACTTCTCAGGACTTCAGACTCCATGGATTGTTAAAAACAAGACTAAAATCAACATATAACTGAAATTTAACCGAAAACTAACCAAAATCTGACCGACAACTTTAATACTCACGCTTTTATACAATATTTTATGATTTTCTCCCACTTAAATTGCACTTTTTCGTATTTTTCCTGATTATAATCCTTAGAATAAATTTTTTCTTAAAGTATAACTCAAAATCGCAACATTTTATTAAGAAAAATTGAGGTTATGTTTTACTAAAATCGCTGTTTTCATGGAGTAAACAAAAAAGTGAAAATACTTTCAATTTTGACGCAAGAATAACTATTTTAAGACATTTTTTAGTCTTAAATCAAGTCACATAACCTAGAAAAATGTGTTAAAATTAGGATTTGGATAAAAATTAATTTCTGAGAGTGAAATAATCAACAGAAAATCTAATCTAAGAACCAAATCTTCTTCAAAATCAAAGCATTTTCACTTTCCTAAACCTAAACTCAGTTGTAAACCTCTTCTGACCATATTATCTCCCCCTTGATGGTTATTTGTTTGATTAGTTCTGAATTTCAGAATGAAATCCTTCTGATTCTAAAGAATTTAGTTAAAGATTGTTTGACTAAAGGCGCAAGAATTGTCTTTGGACGCTTTAGATTTGACTTCAAATTATTATATTCTTAAAATTATCTTCTTAAGCACAATTTTCAGTTGTAAATTTGCCCAAATTGACGGAAAACAGCAGAAGAATTTCCTCTTAATTTCAAAATTTAAAAATTCACTGCGAATAACTGCAATTCAGGCGCGAGAAAGAAATTAATATTGGAAAAGAAGCTTCAATATTTCCCCCTTGGCTCCAAAGCTTCTCCCGGGCTTTAAATCACAAGTGAGAGAACACATAAAGCCCGAAGTTCTCTGAATATTTGTCTCGCATGTGGCAAATACAGCACAAAATACAGCTTTTGGCGTGGAAACATTTCGGCCAGAATGACTGGCAAGTTAATGAGAGTGAAATAGTTTTGATGGAAGTTTTGGGGGTGAGAAAAACAGTGGCTTTTCTCACGAGGAATGCTTCAATTACATTTAATTGCAGTTGTGTGTGAAAATTGTCATTTCTATTGCGTGTGTTGTTGGCTTGATTGTCCTCAACAATCGGCCAAAATGACGCGCGCGCGCGTGTGTTTTGGTGAAATTTAATGTGTCAGAAGTGTAATTTCCACTCATTTCCACCCGCGGATCATTAGCATTGTGAGAAGCAACAAGTATAATTCAAACAATATAATGCCACGCTGAAACACTTCATTTGCGAAAGTGCATGAAAGAGAGCTTTTGGGGTTTGTGGATTTAAAGATTCAAAATGATTTGCATCACATTTGGGTGGATTAAATGAAATTGGATGTGAAATGCACGGAGTGAATAGTTGAATAGCCTGTGAATGTCCTTCAGTGTTTTGGCCAAGGGGCAAGTCACGAGGCGATTTGTGAGGAAACTCAATGTCCTCTAATAAAATAATCAGTTTTTTTAGGAAAATAATCAAAAATTGAATAAAATAATAAAAAATTATTATTTTTCCAAGTGTGATTCCAAAAAGGAAATCAAAATAATCAAATTCTGAAGAAAATAAGCAAAAAATGATTATTTTCCAAAGTAAAATAGAAAAAAATACAAATTCTAAATAAAATAATATAAAAATAAATATTTTCCTAAGTAAAATTGAAAAATAAATCAAATTCTAAGTTAAATAATTAAAAAAAAGATTATTATTTTTTCAAGTAACATTGAAAAAAATTCAAATTCTAAATAAAATAATATAAAAATAATTATTTTCCCAAGTAAAATTGAAAAACACTCAAATTTTGAGTAAGAAAATCAAAAAATTATTATTTTCTCAAGTAAAATTGAAAAATATCCAAATTCTGAATATAATAATAAGAAAAAATTAATTATTTTCCAAAGTGAAATTAAAAATTAATCAAATTCTGAGTTAAATAATTTTAAAAAATCATTATTTTCCACAGTAAGATTACAAAGAAAAATCTAAATAATCAAATTTTTTTTAATTAAAAAGGAAAAAATGATTATTTTCCCAAGTAAAATTAGAAAAAAATCAATTTTGATTAAAATAATATAAAAAATGATTACTTTCCCAAGTAAAATTACAAAATAATCAAATTCTGAATAAAAGATAAAAAAAGGATTATTTTCAATCAATAAATCATAATATTCCGAATATTCCCAATTATTTAATTATATTCAAATTTTGAATAAATATTCAGAAAATAATCAAAAAATAATTTGAATTTTTTATAAAATAATCAAAATTTGTACAAAATAATTAACTTTTAATCAAATATTCAGAAAATAATCAGAATTTATTATGAAATAATCAAGATTCAAATGACAATTAATCAAAAGAATGATTGAATAATCTTAATGGTCTCAAGTTGCGAGTGACTGGCCCCTTGGTGTTGCCAATTGCGGAGCGAAAGGACGGCAAATGAGGCTGAATTGCGGCGCCTTTTGTCCCTCTTCCGCAGCACAAGCGGCCAAATCACTCGTTCTCCATGAACGGCAACATCTCGAAGGAGCTGCGCATGATGGGCCACGGCTCGCAGAAGAACACGTCGTCCAAGTACGATCGCCTGGGCTTCGCCGACGTGCACGAGATCAAGGATCCCGAGGACGAGGTGAATGACTATCTGATGCGCGCCATCGACGCGCGGAGCATCGATCGGCTGCGCTCTGAGCACTGCAAACATGTCCTGCTGACGTTCAAGAAGGCGGAAATTGAGCAGAAGTACGCCAAAGAACCAGATCGAATGCTCAACATTTACTTCTACTGCACTGTGATAATGTTTTCTGGAATGATTCTCATCCAATGGTTGATCTTTCCTTTGTGAGTCGCATTTCAGTTTTGGGTGTGAAATCTTTCCATCTGACGCTCATCTTTCTCTCTGTTTTCTCGGTTTTCTCTCGGCAGAAACATATACAATTACATTGTGATGAGCTTTTTATGGAGTTTCCTGCTTCTACTTTGTGGTGCTGTCGTGGCCAAAGACTACAAATGGTGTCTAGTACGTTTAAAGTTGTTATCCCGGCGAATTCACAAGCAACGAGTCATTGCACAGATTCTGTCTTTCCTTGTGGTTTTCATCGTCAAGTGTTTGGCTTATTCCACCGTTGTGAGTATCATTGAAAACCCCCTTTTTTCCATCCCCCCCAAACCACTCAACCGATTTTCTCTTCTCCTCAATTGATTTTTGTTTATCTATTATGCGCACGGAGGGAAAATTTCGCACTGAGAAAACACTCAAAAGACACTCAAGAATTGAAGTGTCTTTCGCCAAAGGACTTGTAAAATTTCCATCTAGAGAGCGATTTATATCAAACGACAGTTTAGCCCAAAGCATTTCAGAGTCTTTTCATGCAATCAGATTAATCTGCACTTGCAGACTTTTGCCTTTTTCCAGCTCTTCAAAAAGTTCATTTGTCGTGACAAATCTATTTAAAATGCAATTTATTCTGTGGAAAGTCATGCAAAGGGGCGAATAATTGGTGAAATTTCAGAGAAAAGTCAAAGAATTTCTGGATTTTGTCTTATTTCTCGACTTCTGGGATCATTTTCTTATTATATTCCTAATTTATGAATTTATTTTTGATTTTTTGATGGTATTTTTCAATTTTAAACTTGTTTATATTCAGTTTTTGAATTTTTTCGCCAATCAATTGAATGATTTCCTCATTTTTGGAGAGTTTTTTTTCGATTTCAACTGTATTTTTAGTTAATTAATTCAATTTTGTGTTTATATTAAATTTTTAAATTTTTCTTGACCCTAAATTGAATGATTTTCTTATTTCGGGAATCATTTTCTTTCAATATTCTTAATTTATGAATTTATATATTTTTTCTAATGATATTTTTCAATTTTAAACTTGTTTCTAATTCAAATTTTGAATTTATTCCGCTCATAAATTGAATCATTTCCTAATTTTTTTAAAATAAATATCTTTTAATATTCCTCATTTATGAATTTATATTTTATTTTTAATGGCATTTCTTGATTTTAAACTGTATTTTTGATTTATTTAATCTATTTTGAATATATATTCAATTTTTTTTAATCTTTCCGCCCAGAAATTTAATGATTTCCTTATTTTAGGAATCATTTTATTTTAACATTCTCAATTTATATTTTTTTTTTTTCAATCTTATTTTTTGATTTCTTGAGTTTAAATTCAAATTTTGAATTTTTTCAGTCCATAAATTGAATGAATTTCTATCCAAATATTTGCTCAAGTCCATCAAAAACCCTCCAATGATTTTCCCTTTTGCATTTTTCTAGCGAAAAGACAAACTTTTGACCTCAATTTTAAATAGTAAAATTGAATTCGAAAACCACATAAAATCACCACAAGTCGTTCGCCTCTAAATAAAGTGAAACTCAATCTCACAAAAGCGCGCGAATGTTTCTGACATTCAAGTGTATAAAATTTGCTTATGCAAGCAGAAACAGCTTTTCGTCAAATTATCTGTGCCAATTTAATTTTATATCCTTTTATCTCCTCAACTTCCTTCTCATTTGAATTTAGTGCTTCGCCCGAAATTTTCCCCTCCGCCATTTGAGCAACAAGTATATTAATTTGCGTGGAATTTCCCTTCTCTTTCCCGCTTTTTTTCCCGCCCACCCCCGCAGATTATTGTAAAGGACGAATTTATCTGCCTGAACGAGACAATCTCGAAGGACATCAAGACGGATTGCGGAGCCACAACCATAACTAATGTGAGTCTCAATCCTTCTGCCGGCGTTTGAGTAATCTCCACTCATTGCTGTTGGCTTTTGCAGACATTTCTCCTCCTCACGATAATCTCAATGGTGACTTGTGCAGTTCACCAGATTCTCAAGATTGTGCTCAAGATGTTTCTGCTCGTGTCACTGGCGCTGATCTACATTGTCACCAGCTTCTCGCAGAGTGTTCAGCTGGAGGAGATTCTGGGCCTGAACATCTCCTCGTCCATCGAGGATTCGCTCTTCATCGTGATCTTCGTGGTGGCGCTGATTTTCCACAGCCACCAAGTCGAGGCCACGTACAGGCTGGACTTCCTGTGGAAGCTGCAGGCGACGGAGGAGAAGGAGGACATGGAGCACCTGCAGGCGTACAACAGAAAACTCCTGGCCAACATCCTTCCCGTTCACGTGGCGGAACACTTTCTCAGTCGTGACAAGAATATTGATGTAATTTGACTCGCCGCCGTCGCTGCAATTCTCGCCATTAACATCCCTTTTCCCTCTTCCTCCTCTTCTTCTCGCTTCAGGAGCTGTATCACGAGCAGTGCGAGAGCGTGTGCGTCCTGTTCGCGTCCATTCCCAACTTCTCGGAATTCTACGTGGAGCTCGAGGCCAACAACGAGGGCGTCGAGTGTCTCAGGCTGCTCAATGAGATCATCGCGGACTTCGATGAGTTGCTCGGCGAGGAGAGATTCAGGTGACAAAGCACGGCTTTTAATCAATGGGGAAGATAAAGTGGAAGAAATGCAGAAAGTCTCAGACTCGCAGACAGAAAAATCACACTTCTTGACTTCCTTTGCGACCAGAAATCCTTCAAAACTCTAAGAAATATTGAATAATCTTGCTTAAAATCTTGCAAAAGCCAAGCTAGACGGTATTTTCTGGGTTAAAAACATAGTTTTTGGCTTATAAGTGGTCTTAATTTGAGTTTAGGCGCAAGAATTATTGGTTTGAAGATAACTTAAGCACTAAATCTGTGCTAAAAAGAGACTTTTAACGCAGAAATGCAACATTTTCTACGGTAAACTTGCAATAAATCTATTCATTCAGTGGATTTATTCGCATTTTTAACCACCGAAAAAGCTAAAAATTCAATATTGTGTTGAAAATACAGCAATTCCGGTGTAATAACACCGGAAAGTGAGAAATTTAGGGGTGAAATCAAAAGAAATTGCGTTGTTTTTGAGCCAATAACATTTTTTATTAACTTGAGAGGGTTGAATTGAGAGCAATTTGGCTTGATTTGAGAAAATCCAAGAGAAAATCTGAGAATTGTCAGTTAGAATTGCGTGAAAAAGCGCCATTTCGCCCACAAAATCTCTCCTTTTGGCGGCAAAAGGCTGCGCAATCGCTGAAGACTTCTTTTGCAGGTACATTGAGAAGATCAAGAGCACCGGCGCGACGTACATGGCGGCGTCAGGGCTGACGGCCAACACGTGCGACATGGTGAACTATCGCCACGTGACGGCCATGGCGGACTACGCGCTGCGGCTGCTGGAGCAGATCAACGAGGTGAACGAGCACAGCTTCAACAACTTCCGCATGCGCATCGGCATCAACATTGGGCCCGTGGTGGCGGGCGTGATTGGGGCGCGCAAGCCGCAGTACGACATCTGGGGCAACGCCGTGAACGTGGCGAGTCGGATGGACTCCACGGGACTGCTGGATCACATCCAGGTGACGCAGGAGGTGTACCAGATCCTGCAGCCGCGCGGCTATCCGCTGGAGTGTCGCGGCAGCGTGAATGTGAAGGGGAAGGGCTCGATGGTGACGTACTTCCTCGTGGGCTCGGCCAGGGCGGATCTGGTGACCTTCGCCACGCCCGAGGGCATCAAGCAGCAGCAGAGCTCCAGCACGACCACGTCTGAGGATGTGGAGAAGGCGGACAAGGCGCCAGCACAGACGGGAGACAACCCGACGGCGCTGCGCCGCAAGAGTCTCTGTCGACAGAACGACATTGTGCCATACTTCAGCATCTCGCTGAGTCCCAGCGTGTCCACGGGCAGCTGCATCAGTGGGATTCAGCCGAGCAGCGACTCTGGCAATGCCGCGGAGTCGAAGGTGCTGAAGACCGCGGCGGACTTCAAGGGACACCGGCAGAGGGTGGAGAAGAGCGCCATGCAGGACTCGATTGAGAGTCTGGAGAAGCTGCTGAAGAGCGACATTGGACTGGCCAATCTGGGCGCCGTGAAGATTCCGCCGCGTCACAATGAGGAGAACATCGTGCCGCAGGACAACTGCCTGTCCACGTCCTCCGAGACCGTGATCAACGTCACGGAGGCGCGAAGCGACGCGCCGAAGGTGCTGAAGAACTCACACTCAATGTATCCAATTGCGGCGGAGAAGACGCGCGGCGACACGATGAGCACCAGCAAGAGTCTCAATTTATTGCCATTCATTGATGTCAATAGTGTTAAAGTGGTCTTGGAAGACATCACCAATTGTCGAAATTAAGGCTCTGGAGAGAGAGAGATTGAGAGAAGAGCGCAGGAAATTCCGTGGTGATATTCATATCAATGGCGATGCCAATAAATTCCCAATTTGTCGCATCGCCCAAAAGTCTGTATATTTTAGCTGTTATAGTCGCTAGGATAAGAGAAAACCCAAGTATTATGGAATTCAGTGCGTCTGTGTGCAAGTTTTGTGTAATATTTACCACATTGTGTATCATTGTGTAGCTCAAAACTCTGGCCGCCGGCGGCGGTGGAGTGCATTGCGCGTCCTCCGGCGCCACCGGCACACATTGATTAGCTTAATTGTCTCTCTGGCACACAATAACACTGAGGCTGGCAAGGATTTATCGCAGGTAATTCCAGTGAGTGAAGGCTCTTTGGCAAAATGCGAAGGCAATTAGATTGAAATTTCATCTTTCTGATTTTCTGCGCACTTTCGCAGATAGTTTGTGGTTTTTCCACATTTCCCTTAAGCTTCTTTCATTTTCCCTTCAGCCAGGATTTGTCTTAATTAGCAAAATGAGGCTCTTTTGCACCGAATTGAAGAGCGATTATTGGGAAATTTGGGATTGAATGTTGGAAAATGATCAATAGAAATGTTTTTGATTATTTTCTATGGCAAAAAGGTCAAATTTGTCACAATTTCAATGGGTTTTTGCCTTGGTTTTTGCGGTTTTTGCTTGAAATAAATCAAAATTTGCTATCTTCTTCATTTTTTCTTTAAATTTTCCTTATATTTCCTTCCGAATTTAGCCAAAAATACACAGAAAATCATTCTGATGATTAATTGTGCTTCAAATTGATGCATATTTGTCTCATTCTGTGGCGGAAAAATGGAGAAAACCGCGAAAATATTGTATTTTTCCAGCTCAAAATGATTAAATTCTCAAACAATTCCTTTTTATAAGAGTTTATGAATCGAAAACCGCTTATTTTACTCATAAAATGAGCGTCTTTTCCCGAGATTAATCAATATGTAGTTGCGTGTGAGTCACACGCAACTTTCCTATACAAAATCAATTCTTTTATTGCTTTTATCAGAAGAAATCATCTGTATTTTGAGCCGTGCGAATTGAATTCGTGTTTTAATATTTCAAACGTCAACATAGAAATAATAAAAGGGATTTTTCGCTCAGCAAAAAGCTGGGAAAAATCAATTTTCTGCCCACATTTGAGGCTTGTTGAGCTCGCTTGAAGAGAAGCCTTAATGGAAAGACCATCTGATTCCGCCAGTGAATTAATCGTGTTTCTGCTGTATAAAGTCAAGCTTCTTATTGTTTCATAAAGACGAGAGAGAGAGAGAGAGTGAATGGATGGGGAAAAAAGTGAATGAAGCAGAATGTTTGCTCCACAAGTACACACTCGACGGTGAGCTGGAGCATTTTGCGTTCTGTGTGCAAGAGTGGCTCTGCGCTCTCGAGGAAGTCGCATTCACCGGGAGACTTTATCAATTTATGGACAGATGAAGCTCCAATATGTCTGTGAAAAGAATGTCAAGTGTGTGATGAATTCTGAGAAACTGTATATGGAAAAATTCGCTGCACAGCGTGAAGGAAAAATCCCAGAAAAAGCATCAGTGGAAAAGTGGGACCATTTCTCTTCCAAAAAGAATTGACGAAAAGATTTGTTGTTGTCGTTGTTCAGCCTTCCCCAGAAAAATATAATGAAAAAAAACCCTTCCAAGATGTAATTGCAAAACAGGGAAATTCACTCATATAGAATCATTTTAACCACTGCACAAAAGAGTAAAAAAATGTGTCGCATAATCAAATGTGTGAGTAAAATATAGGCAAGAAGAAAAAAAAAACTGTTGGACTAATCAAAAAATATCACACGTATTTTCGTAAAGAAAAGGAAAGAGAAAGAAAGAACATGTCAATTGAGAGAAGAGATTACCAAGGAAAAATTTTACTCTATAAATGTATAAAAGTGAGTGTCAATATTGTCTCATTCGGTTTATTTTCGTGATAATACTTTGTAACAGAAGCCCAAGTATCTTCCATGAGAATATTTAATCTTTATCACACAATGGAGGGGAAATAAATTAGCAATTTAGAGATTAAATTGTTTGTTCTTATTGGTGAAATATGCGATAAGGAGTGAATCTTCTCATTCAGCTCGCGCTTCTCTCGTCACAATCCGCACTTTGAGTGTCTCCGCGAGCAGAAACGGACGGATTTTCCCGCCGCGCAGATCTTCAATTAACGAATTCCGCGTTCAAAAGAAGCCCAACATCTTCGCCTCGCTGACCCCAGAGAGCGCCTCTTGTTCCGGACACCACAAAACGTCAACACACGCGAAGAGTGTTTGTTGTATTTTTGGAGCGTGCGGTATTTATTTATTCTGTTTGTTTATGCTGACAAAATGCTGATTTAACTGCAAAAATAGTGCCTCAATTGAGATTGTAATCTCTGAGCCAGTGATTTCGCCTCAAGTGTCCAACATTACATAATAACCGAAGCCCCCCAAAGCCATGGATAATCAGCTTGAGAAGACAGAGGTAAGTCTCCGGCATTAAACCCCCTTCTTCAGCCTTATCCACTAGCATTTCACCCACAATTGTGCTCGTCATTGTTTATTCTCCTCACTATTTACGAGCTGATAGTGTTTTTGATAAGATTTTTGGGCTTTGCATAAGATTAGCGCGTGTCATGTTTGAGGTTATGCGAGGAATTTTTCCACCCCAAAATTTCCCTCCAAAATCACCAGAACATTCCGCCGGTGCGAACGGAGAAATGGTACCAGAAGATCACAGTGGAGCCCACGATGTTCCTGTACATGATGGCCTTCATGCTCACCTCCGTGATTGAGCAGGCCTTCTACCTGCACAAGGCCTGCACCGTGGATCACAACTATCCCGCCGAAATCTGCGATAATCTCGAAATCCACCAGGACATCAAGAAGGAGGTGCAAATCACCGTCTCGAACTTCCACCAGTGGAACAACGTCCTCGGCCACATCTTCCCCATCATCCTGGCGCTCTTCCTCGGCTCCTGGTCGGATCGCAGGGGCCGCAAACTGCCGCTGATCCTGGGCTTGGTGGGCAAGTTCTACTGGTCCGTCATGATCATCGTCAATTCCTACAAAGGTGAGCGTCTTTTGGAGGGCGAATCAAGGGGGAAACAATTGGTCAGAAGTGGTGTACAACTCAGCAGATGAAATTTCTCTTCTTTCTTCACAAATTAACAAACTGTTTTGATCTCTTTGCTGGCTTTGCTCTTAGTTTGCTTAGAAAAATCAACTAAAATCTCGATTCTAATGTTTTTATAGGTTATGACATCGACATAACCTCTAAAAACATTAAATCTTGAGTTAATCACGCAAAAATTGCCACTAAGTAAGCGAGAATTCATGATTTCAGAAGTGTATGTGTAAAAAAAAAACCCTGGTTTTTAAGTGTAATTCGTAAAACATAACCTCAAAAAATTCATTTAGAGAATTTAGAGACTAGATAAGATCTTTTCGATTAGTTTTTCTGCAATTTTGCTCTTCAATCAACCAATTTTAAGCTCTAAATTAGCAATTTGAGGGATTAAAAACAAGTTAAACGAATTCAAATCTTGTTTTTTTTTCAACCATAACCTCACAAATTATTGAAATTTATGCTTTTAATTGTATTTTCGGTATTTTCTCATCTAATTATGGCCTATTTTCAACCTCTTTTACAAGATTCGTTGAAATCTATCTAGAAAAGTGAGGTTATTTTAGGGATCTTTGTAAATTTAAAGGGTTTAGAGCCGATGCAAGAAGTCTAGAAAGTAGCTAAAGTGTACAGATTGTTAATCTTGCGCCTTGGCGTCCTCAGACTGGCCTCTGCAGACAGTCGTGTATTCCGCCACCATTCCCAGCGCCCTCACGGGCGCCGACGTCGCCATCTTCGCGTCCGCCTTCGCCTACATCTCGGACACCTCAACGGTGAACTCACGCACGATCCGCATCACGATCCTGGATGTTTGCTACCTCAGCACGATGCCGACCGGCGTGGCTCTGGGTGAGTCATAAATAACAATTTGCAATTAATTCCCAATTACCGCCGGAGATTCTTATCGCATAGATTGCCCAGCCACTCCAGCTCGCCATAAAAGTCTCCTCATGTGGTAGCGTCAATTGGGAATTAGTGCGATAAGATTCGGCCGATCATTTTCCAATCGGCACTTCCTCAGACACTCTTTCGAGTCTCTCTCGAGTGGCTTATCGGCGCGACCTAGAACAATACATTGTTGCGCGCCTGCAGCGGAGGAATCTCAATTTGTGTCGTCTCTCTCTCTCTCTCTTGAAGGGTCTTATTTGTTCAGCAACGTCGTGAACCGCAATTACTCTGTCATGTTCATGATAAACGCTTCGTGTCTCCTGGCGGCGATAATTTACTCACTAATTCACTTGAAAGTAAGTGGCGAATCCGTGGCAAAAATGCCCGCCAACTGACTCACAATCACTCTCCTCTCTCGCCCCAGTGGCAGACGACGTCCACGCAGCGCTCTCTGCGCGAGGTCGGCGTCACGGGCGTGCTGTGCGACTTCTTCGACCGCACGCACGTGGTGGACTCGCTGCGGACGCTGGGCAGGCGACGTGAGATGAAGCGACACGTCTACCTGTGGATCTTCATGGTCGCCATGGCGCTGTACACGTTCCAGCGCGATGAGAAGCCCATGATGTACCTGTACACGCAGCTCAAGTTCAACTGGAACACCGTGACGTACAGCAACTTCAAGACCTTCCAGTCCACCGCCTACGTCATCATGATGCTGGCCGGAATCCCGCTCATGAGCAAAGTCTTCGGCTGGCCCGACACGGTGAGATTCACTCATTTATTCCTCATTGCAAATGAATGATCTGCACAGCAAAGTGATAAACAAGCTGCAAATATTCGTTACCAAAAGGCGATTTTTATCTTATCTGAACAGTTTTCAAGAGCAATCTTCACTTTATAGTCAATTTGACCCAAAATTTTCCTCTAATTCTTATTAAACGTCGAAATATGGATGCAAAACATGGCGTGGGGCAGCATTTATAGGTTAAATGGGGCATTTTATCACCCGAAAGTCGGCTAACTTCACTTCACTGTTTCTTAAGCGGCCATTTTTCAAGTTCTCAAAAGCTAGATTCCGATAAGGACGATCAAAATTGTCTTTTTAGCGTGTCTTTTGGTGTTATTGGCAATGAAACTCCTTGAGAAATTGAGGAAAACACCTGAAAATCGTGTGTATTTCCTTAATAGGCATGAAGTTAGTCATATTAATGAGGCTTACTTTGATCTCGAGCCCTTCTTGAGTATCTCAAGCTGATTTTGCTAGTTTTTCTGAAAGAAAAGCGATAAATTCACCTGTAGAATTGAAGTTTAATCCGTGGATTCCGATAAACACGATCGGAATTGTCTTTTTAGCACTTTTTGGGTCTTATTTGCGATAAAGTTCCTTGAAAAAGTGAAGAAAACACTTGAAAATCGTGTGTATTTCCTTAAAGCGCGTGAAGTTAGTCACATTAATGCAGCTTGCTTTGATCTTGAGTCCATCTTGAGTCCATTTTGAGCATCTCAAGCTCAATCTAGGCAATGTTTGATCCGTGATTCGCTGACTTTGCAGGCCATCGTGATGGTGGGCGCTTGCGCTCACGCGACGGCGCGCTTCTTCTTCGCCTTCGCCGAGGTGCCGTGGGTGCTGTACGTGGGCGGCGCCGTGTCCAGTCTGGGGCCCGTCGTGGCGCCCGTGCTGCGCTCCATGACGTCGAAGGTCGTGCCGCTGGCGGAGCGCGGCAAGGTGTTCGCGCTGCTGTCCGTGTTCGACAACGCCGTGCCGCTGTTCAGCGGCGTGCTGTACACGCAAGTGTACAACGCCACGATCGACACGCACCCGGCGGGCATCTTCTGGCTCACGATGGCCACGCAGCTGTGCGTGCTGCTCTTCACGCTGTACATCCACGTGACGCTGAAGGGGCGCTCGCTGGCCGTGCCGGAAGTGGAGAAGCAGAGCGCGCTGATGGACGGCGAGAAGGTGCAGTCGGAGGAAGAGGATCAGGCGCAGAAGTAGGCGCGCGCGCGAGTGGGCGGGAAGAAGTGTTGTAGAATCCTCAGCAATAAATTTTTACGGCCTCTTATTTGCATACATCTTTCACCCGATGAACAGATGGGAGAAAGAGAGGAATTTTTACGGCCACTTTTGGATCCAGAACTTCCCTGTGGAATCTTTTCACGAATTGGAACACACAACAAAACTCTTCTTTTTTTCTTCTATCTCTCTCTCTCTAAAGCAAACCTCATCAGCTTATTTATGCATATAAAACTTTTCTGACGAATTTTAATTAAACCTCCCAGGGCTTAGATTCCATTCCGAGAAAATATTTCTGCGGCTTTTTTTTTCTTCTACCTCAGCGCGCAACTCTTTTTTTTCGGTTGCTTTTTCGCACCGAAATCAAACAAATATTCCATCCATTCCGTTCCGAGGCTTTTAGGAAGGCAAAAACGTCGCGAAGAATGATAAAAATTCATCTGTTTTGGCAAATATTGGGAGTCGTTTATTGAGGCACTGACGGTCAATATTTGATGTGACAGTGAGGAAAATCCCACTTTGCTCTGACGCGAGAGTGAGAGAAGAGCGAGAAAGTTGCGCCTGATTTATGCAGGAGAATCAACACTTCCTCTCCGTGTTTGCGCCCATCAGTTGTGTGTCAGGGTTCAAGAGGAAATCGCCGAGATGTGAGACGAAAGCACTCCAATTGTGTGCGCCAACGGGCAAAATCACTGCAGCGAAAAGGCACACACATGAGGAATGGATTAAAATTCATCCTGTCTATTGCAACCGACTCACGAACACAAGGGCGTAGCCAAGGAGGAAATTCTGGAGGTTTGCTGGCAAATATCTCAGTTTTATCCAATCTTATTGTCTAGATCAAGGGGGAGATCATCAGTGTTGTGCCTTTACATGGTAAAAAATACCTCTTTACATTTTACACGTAAAGAATGTGTAAAAAATGTAAAATGTAAAGTAAAATATAAAATATAAAGTAAAATGTACAATGTTAAAAAATTCTTTTCTGAAGTTTAAAAACTACTAAAACGTCCCGTGAAATTGCAGAAAATACTTTAAAACTGTGAAAACTCAGGAAAATCTTCAAATTGTTGTCATAATTGAGTAAGGTAAGTTAATAATTCAACAACTGATGTTCCAATCCGGTCCACAGGTTTTGATAAACTGTAGAATACGAGCCCGAGTTGATCGTTCAAGAACACTTATGTAGGTGTTAAAATTACGGAAGTTTGCTTTTAAAAAGTATGATTTTTAGACAATTTCTTATTATAGGGTTCAGAAAATCATTAATTTCTTATGCATTGCAGGAAAATGGGCCAAATTGCGTTTAGATATTCTCTAAGTGTCCAAGCAATTCATAATGTTGCATATTATGCCCATGCCATGCCGTTAAACTCAGCATTGTAGGCTATTACTGCTCAAAAACATACTCCGAAAAACGAAAATTCATTAAGATTTGGTGCAATCAATAAACTAATGAAGGTTTTGGCTTCTATGGGTGCCTAATATACCTTTTTCTATTAGAGAATACCCGCAGGATATGCTTCGATGGCCAATTCCGAACTAAAAACGGCTCTTCAGAGATCATATTCACATGGACAAAAAGAACCATATATAACCGAGAAATCTGTCTGCACATTTTCGTCTTAATTGCCTAAATGAGGGTGTAAAATTCACAAAACTCTTCTAATGATTTTGGGCTTCATGGAAAAAAACGCCGGAATTAAATTCCCCGATATTAACGAATATTGTTCGATTCGAAAAATTGAGCCCAATTTTCATATTTTACATTTTTTCTTTACATGTAAAAAAAAATTGTGTGTAAAGAAAACATATTTTACCATGTAAAGAATTGTGTAAAAGTAAAAATGTAAAAAATTCGCCCAACACTGGAGATAATAGAGTCAGAAGTGTTGTACAGCTCAGCAGAAGTACTTAAGAAGTGGAAGTGTTCAAAAGCTTAGAATATTCCTTTCCTGAGACCTTATTTTACCGCCACACTATCTTGATTGTTTGGATTTCCTTGGGTTTTCAAGCAAAATCAATAATAAAAACATTTTTTTTTAGGTTATGTTACGAATTACGGACAGATTTGAGATCAATTCTTACACTCAAGTCCGAAAGATCGCCAGTCATTGGCAGAATTAGACATTTACATGCAATAAAAAGTCCTTTTCTGAACCTGTGACGCCAAGAAACACACGCAAATTGTATTGAACTCGAGCATAACCTCAAAAATAGTTATGTGGAATTGAAAAATGTCAATTTAGAAATTGAGATTATTTTGTGATCTAGAATGCTTCAAAACGGAATTTTTTGAAGATCTATTTGTAATATTTTTGAGGTTATGGTCGGAAATGACCGCCTAAAATGTGTTTTTAAGTCGATTCTTATAGAAATTTTGAATGGAAACTTGATAAATTCCATATAATTTGGAAACAGTCTTTAAAATTTAAGCTCTTGAAGTGTCAGGCAAATTCGGAAGTGTTTGGAAGTGGTGTACGGGTTTAAGATTAACCAATTTAATCGATCTCTCATGTCCTAAAATAAGACAATAAATAACTCAATATTGAAGAAACCTTTTCAGTATTAGACTTTAGGTATATTAATTAAAATAACGAGACTAAAATCAGAGATTCTTCAATATAACTCAAAAACGACTGAAATCTAACCAAAATCTAACTAAACAATTTTATCACTGAGGTTTTCAGGCAATATTTCATGACTTTCTGCTTTTATTCACGGTTTTTGAATACTTCTTTGTCCAATTTTTGAATCGTAGAAACCTTTTTAGCTCAAAAATGCCGATTTTAGGTAAGAAATTGAGGTTATGTTGAACTTTGGCGCAGAATTACTCATTTTATTGAACGCAAACGAGCAATTTCACTAAAAAATGAACAATAATTTCAGATTAGGACATTTAAACGGGAGAATTTCTACGTCAAGGCATTAAAACCCAGTCAAGACGTCTTGTTTAAGGAGTTTACTGTGTCTTTGGCCGCAGTTCTCACGCTCTTGTGCAACTGTGGTCGCTACGCCCATGCACGGGATGTGCGACATTCAATGAAATTGCACAGAGAGTATAAAATGTGGCAAGAAAGAAGTTGAGCGAGATTGCATTTGTGTGTTTGAAAGGCAATAACACAAGAGCGCGCTGAGACTTTTCAATAAAGCCAAGAGAGAGAGAGGTTTGAGGGCAAAAAGAGCCACGAAGAATAGGACAGACCGGAAGAAAAGTCAAACAAACACAATTCTCAGGAAGCGTTTAAGTCTCTTTTCACCGCCTCTCTCGCTCTCACCCTTGGCTCTCTCTCTCTCTCTCTGGGGGCACTTAAACTCCTATTTCCGCTTCACGTGGCTTCGCTGGGACGCGCGGACGGGCGGCATTGTGCGTGAGACGCTGGAAGATGTTGGGCGCAAAGGACAAAAACAGCCATACAAGTGAGGATCGCCGGCTTTTCTTCTCTCTCTTCCTTCCTTTATGTGTAAAATATTGCCAACGGCGCGCTTGAATTAATTCAAATACACAAATAAATTTGATTGTCTCGAGAGCGCGCGAGAGGAGAAGATGTGAAGATGCTGGGAGGACAAGAGGAATCGGCGGCGGTGGAAGAAGAAGAGGAGAAAAAAAAACAAGCACTACGAGTTCTCTCTCGCCCAAAAGAAACGCTCAGCGTCTCATCAATGAACTGAAAGCAATCTCCAATGGAAGCACCTATAATTTCATTCATCAGCCTCTCAATGTTGAGCTCAATCTCGCCAGTCTCCATGCGTTTTTCTTACTCAACGGCCAACAGAGTGAGACACCGCTAGTCGCGTTCACACATCTTCTTGGACTTCTTTGAGCGCGCACAACAGCAGCGGGTCCACATTATATATATATGGCTGGAAGATTGCGTTGACTTCCCCAATAATGGGCATACGAGATCACCTTCCTCTGCATCACATCGCGAAATGCTGTGCGCGCGAGAAGGAGAAAAATCCACCTTTTCTCAATGGTTGCGCCTTCGGGCTGTTTTTATGAATGAAAAACACAATTTTGTCCGCATCTTTTACACACGATACAAATTTTCTACCGCGTAGAAATACATAATCGCTGCCTATGTGCAATTGGAACGGGTAGATTTATGTACATGAGCAAATGACAAACACTCTCTCGCGCGTCAATCCATCGATTTCCCATCCGCGTTTGGGGGCAAAAAACTCCCAACAATCCATACCTTGTTTCCTCCATCGTCCACTGATAACGCCGCCTATCAATCATTGTGGACTTAACACTGTCGCACAGCGATGGACTTAATTCCCCAATATTCACCAAATCAATTTGTCCATACATTTTGACACTCTTCACAAAACAACCTTTTTATCTCTGGCTGGCAGAACTTTACGAGCGTCCTCGTGAGCGTCATTAGAATATTAAGAGACAAGATTAGCAGATGAGGCAGTGAATCTAAATTCAAGGTTTATTGTCAGTATTAAAATGATAACAAACAAAAATTATGACTCGAACAGAAACACCAACGAAAATTAGGCTTTTCAGGAGAAGTTTTCACCGGAATTTCAAATGAATCTTTAAGAAATTTAAATTTTATTCAAGTCATCTAAAGAAACTCGTGATTTCAGACCTTTAACTTTGTGATTATTATCGTGATTTTCATTTAAATTTCAATTATTTCATACAATTTTCAATCATTTTTTGATTCCAACTCCTAAAACAATAAGTAAAAGGCCATTTTTCTTTCCACAAGGGCAAATTTGCTTTTGGGAAATACAGTCGGAACTTCTACATGCCTTTGAAACATGATCAGCTTAACAGCTGATGATGAATTCGAGCTTTTTCTATGCGAAAAGCGTTATTTTCGCGTTCAAATCTCTCACAAAGAGTAAAAGAATGTGAAAATGCGTCAATTTTTCCATCTTTGCTGCCCTCTGGCGACCATTTTGGCAAAAAATAATCAAATATATTCAATATAATTTGATTTCTGTAATTATATATTGCCAAAAATATTCAATTCTTGATGCTTTTGCAATTTTATTTGGAAAAAAATCTGTTTTTCCGTTTATTTTTTAAAAATTTTGATCATTTGTTTCTTCAATTCTAAGTAAAATTGGCTAGTAACTTTGAAAAACTCAGCTATTCATTTAAAAATGCCTTTATTCAACGACTAGAGACTTAAATAAAAATGTTTTGATTCCTTCAACGACTCAGAAGACCAAGAAATAGCGTTTGGTCGAAGCCACGCCCATTAGAACGCCCCGCCTTCTTTTGCAGCGTCATCGCGCAGTGAAAAGGATTCTCTTGACTGTCTTCTTTGGCTGCTTAAGGCATGTTTTCGTGCCTCAAAAGCAATCCCAAAAACTCTACGCTCGACCAAGGCGATTTTGACCTGATGCCCAACTCTTGGCCGAGCATCTAAGAGAGTATCTGGCCTCTTGATTTGTCCATCTCGCTCACCGCCAGCTCGTCTCACTCTATTCACCAGCCACACTACATAAGGCAGAAATGCGCGTGTGTTGGTTTTCATTCAAGTTTCTTTCAATATATACGCTCGGGTGTATATAGTGAAGAAAACGCAAGGCTGGAGCTCTATTGAGAAAAAAAAAACAACCGAGCAAGAGAGACAAACAACGAGGCAAGACATTCCGATTCATTGGAGGCGCATTTCAGTATTCCTGTGTCGATCAATGAGTGTTGAATTGAGCTCCCTCGACTTTCAACTCGCGTCGCCCAACGACAATTTCCTCGATTTCCCCATTCGCGTGATTTGATCTGGGTGGAAAACTGCGTGTCTTTTCCTCCAGCAACACACAAAGTGCGGGGAATGCTGTAGTGAGAAGAAGATTGTCTTGTGTTGTTGTTGGGCTTTTTTTTTGGCCACAAAGCGCGCCGCGCGACAGCGAAAAGTGCAATTTCAGGAGTGCGCGTGAAAGAAGTGCAGAGAAAATCCCTCCAGAAAGACACACTTTTCCACACGATCTTATACTTGTATTGAGGAGAGCGCGGAGGGAAAAGCGCGAAAGAGGAGAAGAAAAATGGATGTGTTAGCACATAAGTGAAGAAGTAGAAAAAGAGTGAATAAACAAACAAGAGTTCCAGAAGCAATTTTAAGTTGTTTGCATTGAAATCGAACGTTGTAATATGTTATATCACGTATAGAAAGAGTGGAGGAGAGCAAAAGCCACACACCAGCAAAAAAGCGCGACAGAAAAGCTTAAGAGAGTTGCGCGAGAGCGGAAAAAGAGAGCCGAAAAGCACAAGTTGAGCTTCTGAAGACAGAAAAAGGGTGGTTCTTGAAAGGAAGTGGGAAAAGCTGAGCTGAGAAAATGTACTTACAAATTGCCGGAACGGGATTTGTGGTAATTTGCCTGATTCGCCTCCTCGAGACAATTCATCTGCCGCTGGAGGTGCTCGAGGTGGAGGATCTGGTGAAGCATCAGCGATTGGATCTCGCCATCGAGTACAACAGCAGCGAATCCGGCGCGAGAGCAAATCAGCCGCCAGATAGCATCAACAAGCCGCGAGTGCTGTACCAAGTCGGGGTAAATCAATCAATTGACTCCCAATATATTGTCCGCGATGTCCTCGCGCGAGGAGTTCAGCGCCAATTGAGTGTCTCGCGCGCGCGCGCAATTGAATTTTTCTACATCATTCCACACCAAGGGGGAGATAAAGCGGCTAAACTGTGTACACCACAATTTCTGTGCAGAATCACAGACGTTTCCACACCTTCAGAAGTGCTAAAAACATGCATTTCCCCTTTTTCTCAACTTCATGGAGTTTTTTGACCGTCTAATGTGCCATAACCTCAAATTTAGAAGTCTTTGTCCCAAAAACTACACCATTTTTACTCTTATTAGCCTGAAAACTTACAGAAAAACAGTTTTTAAGACAATGTATGAAGTTTCCAGCGGATTTTTTGATGTGATTCAATTTTAAATCGCTGTTTTGGATGCACTCTGTAACATAACCTAAAAAATCATTGAAAGAAACTTGTTTTGAATCTTTTAAAAGCAAGAGTAATCGACAATGAGCTGAAATTTGCTATTTTAGAGTAGAAAATCATTCAAACAACCCTTAAAAGAGACAATTTTGTATCCTGAAACAATATTTTTGAGGTTATGATCAATCAATGGTTTGATATTTGATCACAAACGTTCAACTTTGCTGAAGAATATGAATTATTTCAATTAATTTGCCATAAAATGGTGTTTCGCAATGTTATTTAGTCACTAAATTATGCTTAAAGTTAGTTACATAACCTAGAAAAGCTATGAGATTTATTATTGACGAAAATAGTGTAAAAATTCTCAATGTTTCTCTGGTTATTTAGCGTAGAAAGTAGTTCTGAAGCGTCTAATATTGCAAACACTCAAGCACTTCCACTTCTAAAGACTTCTGCTGAACTGTACACCACTTGTGACCACAATATCTCCCCCTTGTGCCATACTTAAGCGGTCGATCTGCCATCTGAGATGGCGGCAACTCTGGTGGCGGAGAAGAAAATCTCTGTGGGGATTTTTTGTCATGCTGTATTTACTATAAGAACCATACATATGTGGCAACCGGACATCCGGTTGCATAGCAGCACATTTACTCTTTTCACCTATTTAAAAAAGGTTCTCTTCTGCCTCTTTCGTCGCTCTTTTTTCCTCTCCTTCACCTCCTGCCGCTCTTTTTTTTCTTCTTCTTCCCTTCCCAACCAACACAACACTTTAATAATCTTCTCTCCGTTTTTGTTTCGCCTCATTCATTCCTATACGGAATTTTATACACACTTCCATCTCACTCACTCTTTGACTATATACGGCAATCTTGTTCTTCATTTTTCTTTCTATTTCTTGGGCTTCGCCTTTAGGCTAAATGAACTTCCCTTTAAACTCTTATTTACCTTTTCCTCCTCTCGCGCGCCTCTGCCCAATTCCTATTGACTCGTATTAATTTTTTCGACGCTTTTTATCGGTTATTTTCCGTGTTTTAATTTTCAATTGGTGAATCGAAGGGAAAATCGCCAATTTTCGCTTCAAATTCACCTCAAAACACCTCCGAAATACCTTTAAATAGCACAAAATTAAGAGAAAAACTGACAATATTACTAAAAGAGGCGTTTTTATGCATTTCATTGCAATTTGAACCCGAAAAAAGAGCAAAACAATACACAATTATGCTAATCTCTCTGGCCAGGATCAATTCCTTCGCTTCAGAAAAAACCAGAATCACTCGCGATCAATCAATTTCCTGTGCTTTAGCTTCTGATTAAGTGGCAATCTTCGCAGCATCTTGAAGAAAATGCTTCGAGTCGTGATGCTAAAGCCTTTTTTTCTCCAATATTGACTGATCAAAATTGATTAACGAAGAGCGCTTTTTGCCACGCACTGACGTGTCGATAAAGCTCCCTCGTCGACGCATCTTTTGCCAACGCAGCTGGAAAAAAAATTAATTCAGAACATTTCAGAGGAATGTTTCAGGCCCAGAGAAAATCATTGAGAAGCTCTGAGTGTTTCACGCGCGCGCGTTCTTCACAATAAAATCAATTGGTGAGCCAATAGAGATTGAGGAGAGAAAAAAAAAACTCTCGTGGAAGCATAATTAAGTCGATGATAGATTCCATGGAAAAACGCTCGTCAGAACATCAAGCTTGTGTAGTACAAACTTCTCAGAATCTTCCACGCACTCGAGTTGCGATGAATAAATGATGTCATTAAATTGCTATTTAATTATGTTATTGAATTAAAAAAAAAACTTTTGCGCGCTCAGTGGAGCGAATGGGAAGTGATTTTTATTCTTTTCTCCTTCCTCAAAAATCCACACAAGCACACACATTGTTTGTCTGGGAGTGCGCAAATTTAATAATCTCAATACGTGATTTGAATTCACTGTCACTTGATTGAGAGATGGAATTTTCGATGATCACGTGCCGCGAATATGACTGAATTCCCACTACAATTCATGCCTTTTACTCCAACTAATTGACACGCCACACAGTTTTACAACTCGCAGAGGTCAAGAAAAGTTCTCTGACGTCAGTGCGATTGAGATCATGAACTTCCCTCCCATTCATCCCACTTTGCAATGCGTTTCGCGCCTGACCATGTGCACATCCAATGCAGGCCTCCGAGAGTGATCTTCCCGTTTGCGCGCCAAACGCCGTGTGCTCGAAGATCGATCTCTACGAGATGCCCTGGATTGAGCGCCAGTGTCGCTGCCCCAACGTGAGTGCGCTGCCCAGCCAGCACATCAACTACCAGCACAGCGAATTCCTGGAGAAACTCCTGCGCAAGCTGAGCAACGATCCCACGATCGAGCGCAAGACGACGCGCGAGATGCTGCGCCGCCTCGGCGCCGTGTATCACGTGGACGACATCGTGCTGGGCGGCCTGGAGGAGCCTGACCAGGGCTACTACTATCGCAGCAAGGGCGCGCACAAGAAGGACTTCCACCTCACGGCGACTGATCTGCACGAGAGCAAGAGACTTCGGCACGCCGCGCATCGCGACTTCGCCACCATCGGCGGCTGCTCCAGCGCCATCGGCGGCGAGGACGGCCACACGATCGTGGACAAGACCAGACACTACAAGCTCTGCAGCCCGATCCACAAGCTGCCAGTGTGTCGGTGAGTGAATTGGCAAATGCTGCCCAGTTCAGCGGAAGCTTACAGAGTTATTCCACTGCTTTTGCTATACAGTTGAACTGAGCACAACGAACTGAGCACAGACTTTCAAAGTCGGATTTCCACTTAATTATGCGGTTTAAATGGTTCAAATCGAAAGGCAATGGCTTAATTAATAATGACGAGCATGAATATGCTTTAAAATGTCTCAAAAGAGCCCTAAAACTTCCTTAGTTGCTCAAAAATTGACAGTTTTCTTGGTTTTTATGCTCAGCTGTCATTAAATCAGCGAAATCAGCATTTTTTGCTTGAAAGTTTTGAAATCAACAAAGATTTTTTAGCTCTTTTCGCTTATTTAATCATTATTCTCTGTAGAAAAACAATTCTGTACACTTTTTTAGGTTATGTGAGTGATTGCAGATGATTTTAGTGACTTAATTGTAATCAAAATTATCAGTACTTGAATTTAAACTGGGCGCAATTCCATTTCTCAACGGATTTGAGCAAAGACGCTCGAAAATGAGCACAATTTCGGGATTTTAAGTGTAAAAACTGTTTGAAAGTCAAACATAACCTCAAAAATATCATTTTGGAGTGTCTAAATGAGTTTTCGAAGCGTTTTCTGAAGTTAATCTAAGTATACTGACTTGTTAAGCATATTAATTTGTCAATAATTCACTTGCAGGTACTTTAAGGACTACACTTGGACGCTCAAGTCCATCTCGGGCGCCAACGCCACGCAGCAGATCATCCACTGTCGCTGCCCGAAGAACTCAGTGACTTATCTGATCAAGAGGGAGCCGCTGAGCGGCAAGGACGAGCAAGGATACGTGTACTTCTTCGCCTGCTCTCCGCAGAGTGTAAGTCCGGCTGTCTGTCTGTCTGTTTCCTGAATCCTCACGCAATTTCTGCTTGCAGCGCCTGCGGTGCCAGCGAAAGGAGCCGTGCAAGCTGTTCACGGTGCGCAAGCGGCGCGAGTTCCTGGACGAGGTCAACACGAATCCGCTGTGCCAGTGTCCGCACAGCCACAGCTGTCCCAGTCACCACACGGATGTGGGCGTGATCGTGGGCAAGTCCTACGCCCAGGACAACATCCGGACCTACTCCGGCTACTGCATGGCCGACAACGCGGCGCAGTGAAGCCGCACAACAATGTACAATGCGACAAAACACTTAGGATTACGAGCTAATTAACCAACTAATATGTATATTTTTTCACAAAACGAGAAGCGCCTACAAAGTGTATTTATTAATAATTTATTTCACTGCAGAAAGGATAAAAAAAGAAAGAAAAACTCGCCTCTCCCAATTTTTATATTAAGAAATGAATCTCTAATAGCTTTAATTCCGCGATTGATTCGACAAATTCAACTCTCAAACACAGATTTAAAACCACAAAAACCGTTCAGCCTCCCTTTTTCCTCCCCCCACCCCAAACACCCCCAAAAAAATCCATTTATACTTCAACATTATCGTACCTGAATGTATAAAAAGAAAATGAAAGAAAGTAAGAAGTGTTATCTAGTTAGAAATTTTTTTTTCTTTAAGAATTGCTCTTTCCTAGGCGATAAGATAAATTGAGAGTGGATACCTTAAAATACATGTATTTTATACACGCAGATAAAAAAGAAATGGTATGTATATAAAAGTTGTTGTGTACTCTTTTCGTTAAAAGGAAGAAGAAAAAAATCATACTTGAATAAATAATTCACTGGACAAGCGATTTACCATGTTTTTCACTCCTTCGTGGGTTGAAATTATGAATTCTGTGTACAGAAATTGAAAATAGAGTAAATGTTTCATTATAAGCATCAATGAGCGAAATCTATCACTTTGCCTACATTGCGGCGAATTGATTCAGAAGCACGATTTTGCATGGAAAAGTCGTTAATCACGAGAAGATGCGCTCAACAAGGTGAAATGCAGAATAAATTATGTAAGCAAACTGTGAGGAAATAGACACGAAATTGTACAAAATAATTACAAATTGCATGAGCTTCTGGAAGAAGTCTTGTTCGACACACAAAACGTCTTTACTTGCACGATTGCTACAAATTAATTCACCTAATTTTCATACAAAGTAAGATTAATTGAGTGAAATATAAGTTAGAGAAGCAGACACGATCGTATTTACTCTCCTAATGGATCATCAGGCAGAATCAAGGGGGACGAAAATGCACAGAAACAATCAATACAATCCAATACAATCTTTTTTCTAGGTTATGTGACAAATCAAGGACTGATTTAGTGAATTATTCGCATTCTAGCGCATCAATTCTTGCGCTCAAGTGAGAAAAATCGCCACTTATTGGCAAAAAACGACGCTATTCTGATCTTTTGATACCAAGAAACCCTAAAAATTGCACTAAAGTCGAACATAACCTCAAAAATATTGATTTAGGACATTTTCAGGTCGATTTTAACACTGAATCTGCAATTTTGAGTTCATTGACAAGTAATAAGAGACGATTTTGAGAACTAGAAAGCGTTTAATTAAAGTCTTTAAGGATCTCTTAGTGATATTTTGAGATTAAGGTCGAAAAATATGGCCAAAAAGGGGTTTTTAAGCGTATTATCACAGAAATAATGGATTATAGTAAGCAAAAAGTCTAAAAATTGTAAGTAAAAGCGATTACAGACTTGCTGATGATCCACGGGAGGTTAAGCGAGAGCGCGAGTTTGAACGACTGACAGTTCGCTTAGCCAGAAAACGCGAATAATCCCTCGATATATCGAAGGTTCAGCCGATTTTTCAGGGGTTCGCGACGGCAGCGCGCTCGTGCGAAAATGCGCCGAAACATTGCGCGACTCAGGAAAAGCGCAAAATGGCGAATCTCTTGCGAATGATTTTCTGGATTATTAAAAATCATTAAATTCTTCTGCGAATCATCAATTTTCGCAATTTTAACGTAAAATTTCACTCTTTTGAAGTACGCAAATCAACTGACAGTTGAACACATAAAGCAAAAGTGGCGCTAGTGTCGACAAAGAATAACTCCTGAGTGTATTTACCGCTAGTTCAGCCACGAATGATTGCTAATCCATATTTTGAGTGTGTAAAGGTGCAGATCAACCACGACTTATTGCTGATCTGACCTTTACACACTTTAAGCTCATCCACGGAGGATTAATCCAAGTTCGCGCCGATTCGTGGATCATCAGCAAGTCTGTAATCGCTTTAATGGAAGTATTTGGAAGCAATGTACAGATTTAAGGCAGATTATCTTCCCCTTGGGCACAATAATGAGACTCTTTTCCATCTTAATTTCATCTTCAGCCCCAATTTGTCGCGATCGCACGACAATTTTGCACAATTGAGAGACATTTTTAATAGTTAATGTGACTTTTTGTGCATAGAAAGTAATTTATTTCATCTTGAGGTGGTTTTTTGTAAAAGTGTTTTCAAAAATGATCATTCTTTGGTCGTTTTCTTCCGCAGATTCAAGAGAATCTCTCAGCGGAATTGTAATCAAATTGATTCATTATGGCATAATTACAGTTGGAGGCGCCCAAAGCGGCCCATCTTTCCCCTACTTTCAGCACTTGAGGCAGTGATTAGCCAGCATACTTCCCATATTGAATGCGAATAATCGTCTCGTTAGTATCATTTTCTCTCATTTCTCTATGGCGTTATCTGAATTTCACAAGATTCCATCCTTTCCCAAGATCAATATTTATATATAGAGAGAAAAAAAGCGAGTATAATTGGAGTTCAACGTGTGGCCATTATCTAATTTTAAGCAGTTGAAATTTGCATTTCAATTTTTCGCGCTCGTTTTTCTTCCATGACTTTCATGAGTGATAAAAGATGAATAATTTCACCGATAATTTCAATTACAATTTAGCTAAAAGATTGCAATTGTCACTTTTCTGTCTCACTAACTTTTTTCACACGTGCGACGGACATGCGGCAATGTTTAAAAGGGGGGGGGGGGGGGGAATATCACCCAAAAAGCCCAATTCGACGGGTGCCTCGAAAACTATGAAAAGTCGATTTATCATAGTTTTCGTCTTATGTATTTTTGAAAAGCCTTTTATTTGTTCTTCCTGTACAAGAATTTTAAGATTTGTATCTTATGAGACAATAGAAAAAAATCTTATTTATCTAAAAAGCACAAATGGAAAAAAATTGTCATGTTTTGCGAATGAAAATGTCTCAAAAATTGCAGTCAAATGCATAAAACGTCTTTTTAGAAAATATTTGTAGATTTTCAGAATTATCCTAAAATGTTTTTCTGGACTTTAAATGAATATTTTTCATATCTTTTAAATTTTTTCACTTGAAAACATTAAGAAAAAGTTCAATTGAAGTATGAAAAGTTGATTTTTTGTATAAAATCGACTCAAAAACCATTAAAAATCGACTTTGAAAAGTAATATTTTCAGATTTTCTATTAATTTTGCCACATTTTAGTGAAAAATTTCAATAAATACCAATAAAACATTTACAAAATAAAAAATACAGAGCAATATTTTCACTTTAACGAACGATTTGAAGGCATTTTGAGTATTTTGAAGTAAATTTGGCAAATTTCGCAGCTGTTTTAATGCAAAATTTTGAACTCGCTTTGCTGAAAAATGGCGATTTTGACTTTTTATAGTTTTCAAGGCACCCGTCGAATTAGTACCGGTTAAATTGGATTTCGCTGATGCGCGCGGAGTTTTTTGGGCAAAGTTAAAAATTTCACCTTCCTTCAAAAGCTGCGCCCGTGGCGGGAAAAAGTCCGTGGAAAAGTGGCCATTCTGGAGGCATTTATGAATGCTAATGGCTCCATTTCAAATGACTTTACGAGAGACACGTCGCTTTTTTTTCTGCCCTCCCCATAAAGTTGCTACAAGAATTAAGTCAACACGCCAGACGATGCGAGCTCAGGCACCAATTTCTTCCGCCGCGCACACAACAGAGTCGTGAGAAAGGCGGATAGAACCAGAACAAGAGGCTCTAATTGGGTCTCAGCCGAGCTTCTGGCTCACTTTCGTTGTCTGAGAAATTAGGCTAAGTAAATGAGATGCAGTGACGGTACTTTAAATGGCACAACCTTTTGCGCCAAGATAGCATCAAAATTTGCTTTTATATACACTTCTGCCCAGAGAGTTTATAATCTCTTTCCGAAATCACTTTTACCATGTTGTGTTTATCATTTCGCATCACGCGATGATGGTTTGAAAATTTCATAAATGCTGCTCAAGAGACGCTCAGCGGCCAGTTTATGGAATTTCATAGGCTCAATTCAACATTGTAAATTCATTTATAACTTTATTATCAAATTATCAGAGACACCTTGAGAATTTCCAAATTTTTTTTATATAAATTACAAATAAATTTTCACCCTTATAAGTTCTTCTCATGCACAGTTGAATTTATCATTAACTTTCGCGTTCAATATTACACGGAGACTCTTTAATTTTGTTTTCGGGAAATTGTGAGGTTATGACAAGAATCCTTCTTGAATTGATTTTAATCCTTTCACACCTGGAAATGAGTTTCTACTAGATAATGAAGTTAAATTTGCCACTTTTAAGCACAAACCGCGGAAAAAACTAATCAAAAAGTCATTTTTCTAGACTGAAAAGACATTTTTGAGGTTATGATTAACTAATAAGATGTTTCTTGATCAATCTGAAGCTTTTTGCCAAGGAAAAGTGAAAAAATCCCAAATTGGACACTAATTTGAGGATTTTGAGGGTTATTTAATCACCAGAATCGGTTTTAAATCAATAACATAACCTTAAAAAGCAACAAAATTGATATTTTTGAAGCAAAATGATTTTCAAATGTGCCTCAAATTGTTACAACAGAAAGTTTTACACTTCCAACAATAATATCTGCCCCTTGGTGGGAAATCACATCTTATCCTATCTTATAAGATAAGATCCGTAAGTTGCATCGCGAATACTTTTCTCCACACTTGCGCTCACGTTTCTATGCCACCTAAGAAGACCTCTCGCGATAGAGTGTATTAATTGGGCACATGAGCTGAAGTTGACTAATTAATTTTTAATGTCCGTTTGTTTGCTGCCTGGCAAGAAGGTTTTGCCCCTTTTTTCGCAGCCCGCGGAGAAAATTCTCCTGCAAGCGTGTGTGCAAAATAATATTTCATCATTTTTTGATGAGAGTGAAATGGGTGTTTGGTCGTTAAGATGCTCCCTCACTCCACCCACAACAATTAATCACCCAAAGAGATTGAAATTGTTTGTTGCTGTGCTCGAGAAAAGCCCAATAGCAAAAAGAGCCTGAAACATGTGAAGGCATCGGAAAAAGCACTTTCACCGCGCGCGCGCGCTGGAATTGCTGCAATGTGTTACCTTCGGAAGATGCCTTCGAGAGAAGCCCTAAATTCCATCTCATCAAATCAATTAGCATTGAGCTTTTCGGGGGCACTTTTGACCAATTTCGCACAGCAAATTTCACCTTGCGAGGCACATTTTTCACAACCAAAAAAAAAGACACACAGAGAGAACTATCTTATTTGCATTGCATGATGTGTACCTACTTTTAATTTAACGGTCTTCATTGTAGAAATTCTTTCATCTCACTTCTCATCAGCCAACCCAGAAGATGGACTCGCGCCGGGCATTCAAATTGACGGGAAAAGAGACACAAAACACGCTTGAATAATCATGAAAAAGATGAGGCTTTTTTTTAATGGACGATTGCAGGGCTAGAGAAAAAATGTTATTGAAGAGGCCAAAAATTGATGATCAAAATTGCCCCCTTTTGTA